AGATTGCAAAGAAACAAACGAGCATTTTATTATGTGGATAGGGGTAAAGCCTACGTCAAGAGGTACGGAGTATTCCCCAAGCAATAATAATTAAACATTCCAAACCCTAAAGTAAATATTTCCACTACGGAGTAATTCTGGGGCAAGGGACACATGACTTGAATGCTTGTATCTTTGATGAGTATAACACCTACAAAAGATACCTGTCTCATAGATGCAAGTTAGATATGACCCACAACCTTTGGAAAGTGCTATGTATTATTGGTAGGCTGAAAAGCCCAGCTCTGATGCAAGAATCTAGAACAAGACAGAAAATGCTGTGGCGGCGAATCAAGATCCGCCTCGCCTGAGGTTTAGTTCCCAATAAGGAAATCAACTTTCGTTCCCAAATGTGGTATTATGTTCCGATCTATACAGGGGAAGCAAAAAAATGATGTTATTGACCCGCTGTGGCCCAGTCAGGCGTGTCGCCTGAAACAGACATATATGTTGTATACACATCCATGTGACACTGTAATATCCCCTGCGCAGAGTTGATCCAAAGAGTTCAATGTTGTTCCCGAGGTCATCTCTTCGCAAGTAGATACAACTATTGGATACACACACCTCTGATTTATTTAATTAAACCTAACCTGCAATCTTGACAGATAAGATGACTCTCATCTCATAATTCCACCTCTCCAAATCCAGCCTCTATATATTGGTCTCATGCGTGGTGGTCACAGCCAGACCCGCTTTGTGATGCCAAGCTGGAACTCGGGAAAGTACCTTAAACAAGATAGGAAGTATGTAGTAGTACTCCGTATACAAAATGAAATTCTCAGAGTACAGCGTACTCAGCTGCTCCTGCTCATCAATGATATTCTTGATCGACACATGAAATAGCGCATTCTCTAGTGTGACTTTAGTACTCTCCTTACTTGAGGGAAGACCATCCCTAGAGGGTCCATTTACCAATGTCTCAATGAGTAGAGCCACGTACTAATTTGAATATAGTGATTTACATTGCTAATGGAAAGATATAGCAAGGTCTTTTTCTCGAAGGAAAATGAGGCATCGGGAATTAAGATGGCGATAAAGCCAAGACGTCGTCGTAGCATATTGCCTAATAAGGCTAGCGCCACTATTCCCTATCAGGCAACCCATGTGCGGGCTGATATCAAAGGTTCCGGTTGTAGCAAAAATGTATGAGCATCTTCATCCATGGACGGTTCTTGTTGCCTTTTTTTATTTTTTATGATCCACTCGTCAAAAATTCGGCGCCGAATTTATTGGAAATGAATTATAAAAGAATGCTACCCCAGGGGTTTAAACAATCTATGTTATATGACCACACGTTGCCCCAACTACAACACCTTGCACCTATAACTACGACACTATATAATTTTGTCTGGGTACAGCCCCCATCACCAGTCTGATATCTTTCAAAATGGAGACTCCTCAGTCAGATCAGACCCCCACAAATGCAACTAGCCCGACAGCCTCCATCGGGCCTGGCCAATTTAATCATGCTCAAGCACAACCCGATGATTACCTCGACCTACCAGTCCGTGAAGTCAATGATGGCGCCGATTTACGTGAATACATCACCGAGACGAGGACAGGTGAAATCATCAAGCCGATGAAGTCCAATGTTACTGGCAAAATGGAAGATTGGAAGATGGTGACATTCACCATTGACGATCCGGAGAACCCCAAGAATTGGTCCAAGGCCTACAAGTGGTACTGTACCATGGTGGTCGCATTCACCTGCTTTGTCGTCGCCTTTTGCAGTAGTGTCATTACAGCTGATATTGAGGGACCCATCAAGGAATTCGGTATCAGTCGTGAAGTCAGCTTGCTCGTTATCACGGTTTTCGTTATTGGATTCGGTCTTGGTAAGTAACTCACAGATGTGATCCATGTGCTTTGTATAGTTCTAACCCTATTTTAGGACCCATGGTCTTTGCTCCAATGTCCGAGATCTTCGGACGTCGGCCTGTCTACGCTTTGACTTTGGCAATCGCTGTTATTTTCGTCATCCCGTGTGCCGTTTCTAAGAACATTGGAACTCTCATTGCCTGCCGTTTGATCGACGGAATCGCTTTCAGTGCCCCCATGACTCTAGTCGGTGGTACTCTGGCTGATTTGTGGAAGAGTGAGGAGCGTGGTGTTCCGATGGCAGCATTCAGCGCTGCTCCCTTCATTGGTCCGGCCGTTGGCCCACTTGTTGGTGGCTACCTGGCTGACAATTGCGGTTGGCGCTGGCTTTACTGGATCCAGCTTATTCTGTCCTTTGTGGCCTGGGTCATGATCACCTTCACTGTTCCCGAGACATTTGCACCAACTTTGCTGAAGAAGCGAGCCCAGAAACTTCGCAAGGCTGAGGATGATCCCAAGTATACCACCGAAACCGAGCTCGATCCTCGCCCCATGGGTGAGAAGTTGCGCATCTTCCTCTTCCGCCCCTTCCAGCTTCTGTTCCTCGAGCCCATCGTCTTGTTCATTTCTCTCTACATGTCGGTCATTTATGGCTTGCTGTACATGTTCTTCGTTGCGTAAGTCGTCAGCATGTTATATCAACACAGACTAGAGACTAACGATATTTCTAGCTACCCAATTGTTTACCAGGGCGGCAAAGGATGGAGCGCGTCTAATACCGGTCTCATGTTTATCCCTCTAGCCATCGGTGTGATCTTCAGCGCATGCTGTGCTCCTTTGGTCAACAAGCACTACCTAAAGGTCTCCATGGAATGCGGTGGCAAGCCTCCAGCCGAAAAACGTCTGATTCCCATGATGTGGGCTTGCTGGTGCATCCCTTGTGGTCTTTTCGTCTTCGCCTGGACCTCTTACCCCCATATCCACTGGATGGGACCGGCGATGGGAGGCTTCCTTATTGGAGTCGGCGTTATCCTGCTCTATAACTCTGCCAACAACTACCTTGGTATGTACCGAAACCATTAAATCTTTTTTGATCTGTGTCGTTGCTAACTATTTTTCCAGTTGATACCTACCAGCATCAAGCAGCATCTGCTCTCGCAGCCAAGACCTTCATCCGTTCTATCTGGGGTGCTTGCACCGTCCTGTTCACAGAGCAAATGTACGAACGTCTGGGTGACCAGTGGGCCAGCTCGCTTCTTGCATTCATCGGCTTGGCTTGCTGCGCCATTCCCTATGTGTTTTACTTCAAGGGAGCTTCCATTCGTCGTTTCTCGAAATTCGCCTTCCATGACGATGAGGAGAAAGCTATCAAGGCATAAATTGTTGTCAAACTTGATATCGGGAAATTTAAATAAGAGGAGGTAATTTCATAATTCTTTCAGTTTGTGCAGCATTGTGGAAATGGTTTGCTGGTATGACTGATGTGGAAAAGAACATGGATGACATCGGCACGGCGTCTTTCGATATCCATTGCATATATAATTGATCGAACTTTTAACATATTGATAGTTTTTAATACAAAATTTATTTATAGCACATAACATCATGATTATACGTACTCTTATGAGCAGATCGAAGTCGGTTTGATCTAGTGGGACAGTTTAATACATTAGAGAATCTAGAATATGTCCACGGGTAGATAACTTGAAGTTGGTAGTGGTAAGAAGGAAACATCTTGTCTTGATAGATGATATAACGGGGACTTACATACATCTACCTGCTCAACCTGTTTCTCCTTCCAAATATGACGTACCTATCTTGGGGTTTGCCTGGGGTTTTTTTAGCTACAGCATGTGCTCTATCGATTCCTCCTGGATAAAGAGAAACGTCGAAGAAAAATGAAAGTTAGAAGTACTGGGGCTGTAATAATCGGGCCTAAACAGTCATTGATCCATCTTGAAAGGTTCGCTGTCGTCAACACGATCCGGGTATCAGCGTCAAATAGACGTGAAGGTAAAAGTTGGGGATTCTCCAAAATTGGGTTCACTTTCTAGAGTAAACAAGACGCTATTCACAAATCAGAACTCAGAACCTGTGATAGGATCTTGGGCGGGCATACAATCTGCTGACATAATCCACATGATGCCCCAGCGAGCTCATCGGGACCATCGCATCAACTTTAGCCTCTTTTACTTTGCCTTTGTTTCGAGCTCAAGGGTCAACACAAACTCCGACTCTGCTATTTAAAGATAAAATACAACTACTCGGTCTTTTCCGATCCTAATAATGGCCTCCGACGCCGCCTCCGCCTCGCCCGCCGAGCTCTACGACTCTGCCATGACCGTCCCCTCCGACTCAGAGAACTACTCCGCGAACCTTGAGATGTCCTCCTCGGTCCCTTCAAGCGCAAGCTCACTCATGATGCTCTATAAGCCGCCAAGTGTTTGGGGTCTTCTGCGCGGAGCGGCCATCAACCTCTTCCTCCCCTTCGTCAATGGCCTCATGCTAGGCTTTGGAGAACTGTTCGCACACGAGGCTGCTTTCCGACTTGGATGGTCTAACACTAAGGTATGTGAACTTTTTTATGAGCTCATGTCGATTCTGATAAACTAATTAGCTACTCTTCATTATATAGATCTTCCCCAACCACCGCCGCTCACATGCAGTGGGCCCGGGTGTTGAAATGCGGGAGCTTCCTTCGGAGCGGAGACGTCCTGGACTGAGGGATACTGCTTCTTTGGAATAAGTGATTGATGTTTCTTCTGCCTTTGATCCGTTCAAGAACGACTGCATTTACGCGGGAGACAAAAACCGAAGCATATGTGATTTGGGATCGATACCTGGCTTTCTGTGCACACCTGGATTTAGTGGTTGTACATAGACCTGTTGGCTCAGGCAGGGGGGGGCGTTTGGCGAATTAGGATTTACATTTTGCAACCAGCTTTTGTTACAATATTAGAATATCCAAGTCTATGAATTCGATATATGCATATTTCCATATTCGAGTCTCCGTGCCTGTCCTGTCCCGTAGCCGTGATCCGGGGGTATTTACCGCCCGGGCAGAAAAAGTCGCGCCGAAAGGCAGAAGAACAACTCTTCCGTACTGGGTATCTCCCCATCTATAATTATCCCAAAGCACAATGATGGGACCTGTTGGCCTGAAAGGGTCCGGCGCAGCCGCTGCCCTTGCACGTCAGAGGATGACCGCCATGTCCATGTCCCGCTCCTCTCGATCTGTCTGTTTTCCCGTTGACCCGGATTTGCAAAAACATCGAAATTGACTTGGCTTTGCAGATGTCTACCTTGCGGTCACAAAGCCTACGGTTCCCTAGCCAGCGGGGCCAATTGAAGTCAGCGCTATCTGGAAGTGCTCCGTGGCGCATGACACCAGCTGTTGTCGGCCCGGCCGCAGTCCGATTCAATTCCACCTCCTCCGACTCAACACTCCCCGAATTTGCTTTTGATGGCACATTGAAGAATGCGGGAAACATACAGGATATTACCTCGATTCCGGAGAGAATTGGATACCTTAAGGAGCTTGGGCTAGACTTCGGCTGGGGCTTCACGTCGACGATGCAATGGCTTATCGAGCACACTCACATATGGACCGGCTTGCCATGGTGGGCTAGTATCGTGGCTGTCGGTCTTCTGACTCGTGTAGCAATGCTGAAGCCTGTCCTTGGCGCATCCGAGAACGCAGCAAGAATGACCAACGCCAAAGCTAAGACTGACCCCCTCCGGCAAAAAATGGTCGCTGCCTCGACCGAAGGGAACACCCAGGAAGCCCAGATTTTAAGGGCCCAGCTCAAGGAGATCAACGATGAGCACGGAATTAAGGCAATGAAGTCATTTCTTCCAATGTTGCAAATTCCACTTGGTTTCGGATGCTTCCGAGTCGTGCGAGCGATGACTTCGTTGCCAGTGCCGGCCCTGGCCATGGAAACAGCGGGATGGGTTAAGGACCTGACTATTGCCGATCCTACTTACATCTTGCCCATGATTGCTGCGGGCACCCTGTGTTTATCTCTGAAGGTAAGTTCTGGTCTTATGTGGTCTACTATAACTGCGATGTTAACGAAAGACAACAGAGAGGTGGTGAATCCGGCGCCATGCCCATGATGCAAACCGAAGCAGGAAAGTACATCATATATGGTTTCCCTGTCATGTCTTTTGCCTTCATGGCATTCATGCCGAGTGCCCTGCAGTTCTACTTTGTGGCAAGTGGTATTTTCGGCCTGGGTCAAACTTACGTGATCAACTCGGAAGCCTTCCGGAAGTGGATGTCCCTATCGATCGCTAAAAAGCCATCCACTGGGCCGAAATTCTCGGCTGTCACCCAAAGCACCCAAAGCAAGGGCCTTCGCCAACTGCTGGAACGGCTCGAGAAGGAAAAAGCCGCGCAAGAGAAAGCACGCAGCGAACTCTCTGCGTCACCTGCACTGGAAGATGCGAAGATCAGCCTCATTGACCGCATCTACCAGAAATTCGGGAAGGTCGGCTCCGGCTTGTCTAAATCAGTCTCAGAAACCATCGGCACTTCAACAGTCGAGCAGCGTATTGCCAAGGACCACAAGAAGCGTGCAGATGAATACGAACAACAACGAAAGGACGAGGATGAGCTCATGCGGAGAGAGCGTAATGAAGCTCGCCGCAAGGAGCACATGCAAACCCTGGAGAACGAGAGGACCAAGGCAAGCAAGTCTTTGAAGAATACCCAGACGGCTGCTCGCAAACCTAATGGGGGGCGTGGCTCACGCCGTGCTTGATTGGCGTGTGTTTGTACAAACTGTAAATTATGGCGCAGTGGTATTTGCATTTTCTTTTTGTGATTTGAAGAGTAGAGTTTAGTTCGGCCACAATCTCCATTTGGCTATGTACACTTCTATAGAATTGAAGCTTGCATCACTCATCTTGCTATCGCATTGGATAAATACTCGAAGAGCCAGAAAAGGGAAAAACCAGAACAAGTCATACTTACACATGGCCATGGACCAGCCATGTCGAAAAAAAGCAAGTCCCCTAGTCACACAACACCAAAAGCCCAGGTCAAGCCAACTCAATCTAGATCAAGTCGTCTGCATAGGAACCGATTGCAAAGGCAACGGCGTCTTCTCGTCCTCAACAAAAACAGCCCTCTCCAACTTCTGAGTCAGAGAAGCACAGAACGTATCCACATACGCCGTCCACAGCGCAGCAACGAGATACACAAGCCCGATCCAGACCGGAATACTAATACCAACGACCCACGGGGGCCGGATAGGCAACCAGTCATCGCGCTCGTCGTCAGTCAATGGCTCAGGACCCTTCCACGGCTGACCGCTGATACCATATAGCATCCAGCAGAGCACAACGCGCAGCATGGTGCCATGGACGAGGTAGACAGCGAAACTCTGCTTGCCGAACCAGAGGAGGAGTCTGCTAGAGAGGAAGTCTTTCGTCGAAGGGGAGAAAAAGATCGCAAGGATGATCATGTCGATTGCGAGTGCAGTGTAGCGTTTCCCGACGTTGACTTCTGGCGGGAATATGTATTGGCTTGCCTCGAGCATCACGTCAGACCAACCTGCCCATTCGGGATTTTCACCGGGGTATGAAGCGAGGAGCAATGCGACAATAGTGAGTGGGATAGTGAGCATCTTCCGGCCTCGCGGGTGTTTTTCTATCCAGTCTTTGAGGGCTGTGTGGTAGGAGAAGTCACTAAGGAGCATGCCGTAGATGGCCTGCGTTTGGAAGGTTTCTATAGAATCAGCATTAGCAATGCATTGGTCTTTTTATCCCCCCGGATGCACTAGATTAAAGGCTCATATGTTGTTTCCACAAGCAACACTCACCTATATCCTTGCCAGCATTCTGATGGAAATACAACAACATGCCAATATAGACCACAACCCTATACCGAAACTTGACGAACATAGTCGCAGAAAGCACCAGATAAACCAACATAGACGACCAAAGCAGCGGCAGAAGCGCCCACTGATGATCATCGTATGCCATATAACCCGTCGTCCAAGTCGACAAGAAATTCATTGGCAAACGAATAAGTTCCTTCCAAAAGGAATCCTCTAAATCCGGTGCCGCATACCGACACCACCAGCAATCGGACCTATTGGCAACTATAAAACCGCCGAATTGCGCGACAGTCCACGAGATGAAAAGGGCAATCGTCGCAGGGAAGATCAGTCGTGGCGGTCGACGAAATGCGCTCTTTGCTATTGTTTCGAATGCTCCTGTTGTATCACCTACTCGCGACAGCTTGAGGGGCTTTAGCGCGCAGACGTAGCCGGTTAGGAAGGCGAAGATGGTTACACCCAAGCGGCCTTGCCAGGGGATGCGGAGGATGGGCCATTGGAGGATTCGTGGGCTGGCGTCTTCGTTGTCGCGTGGTGAGAATAGCTCATAGTCCCAGGCTCGGGTGAGATGGGTTATCACTACTAGGAATGAGGCGATTCCTCGAAGGCCCTAGAAGTTAAACATGTTAGATTGTATCATGCACTATCTGTTTTCAGAACATACATCAATCCATTTAACACTCTTTTTGGGGTCTCCTTTCTCTGATGGATCCCCGGAGGACCAAGGCAAGGCTGTGGGTATTGTATCTATTAAACGAGTGTATAAGTGAGAGGGTTGGAGGTATTGCATTATAAATAGATGTCCAAGATGCCAATATTCGAATGAAAACCAGGCTATGAAATAACAAGGCAGATTGAGCGTCGACTAGCCCACTCCAACCGAAAATGAAGAAATAAAAAGAAGGACTATGAACAGTAAAAGAAACACAAAGAAAGCTGAGACATCGAAGAAACTGGGATAGTAACCCCCCCCCCCCCCCGGCAATCACATCAAGAAAAAGGCTGCCAAGAAAGAAAGGAGTTGAGTCGACGTGGCCCTGCAAGTGCCAGCCCTTATGTTGTCCAGATCCAATCGCAGATTCCTTGAGAAGGAGGTGGACTATGGACTATGTAGTCCCACATTGCAGAATTGGATAAAAAATTACCCAATAAATAGAAAACGCCACTCGGATAGCAGCCCTTGCTGCACATGCGCTGTGGCTTTCTGCAGGGTCGATTGATCTACCTCATTTCTGTTCTTGAGATGATTGGGGATAACCCTATGTTGTACCATTGCCATTTAGTCCATCTACTCCGTACTCCGTATCTTATATGACATTGAGAATAGCCCTAATTCCAAAATAGCCAGTGTATCCAATCAGACCTAGGTATATAGGCAGCGGTATGGAAGTTTTGAAAAGCACCAACCTACTGTAAATAGCGTCATTCTGGAGGACATGGCGGTGCTTGGCGTGTCTATTACACTAAACTTGACTGATTCGAAGGCAACAGCGATTCGACACATAGGATATTGCGAGTGAGAGACCGAGGGAAGGAAGAGAATGGAACATACATATAATTATCCCTAGACACAGGCTTATGATATAGCTAGCCAATATGAATCATGTTTGCCTGCATAGAGTACATACGGAGTAGAGGCGTTGTAAATGCCACGGGCATTCATTCCTCGCCCCTGCTAAGATCGAGGGCTTCCATCTAGTGGAATGTGTGATTGGATACGGCATATGTTCTAAATTTAAGACTGGGGTTCCATTACGGAGTACAAGGGGGACAGTAAATAAAGTCCCAGTGAGGGTATCTCAAGTCTGCTAATAGTACACAATGTGTGGCCGAAGAGAATAATCATATCAAAGCCGAAACAGACCCAGTCTGCCGTAAGAATTTCCCCGCAAAGCCCAGATCGCCAATCCTAGTGTATTAGATATGAAAAAAAGTAAAACAAAGCCCGCCGATATGCAATGAAAGACTGGTTGGGTTATTATCGGAAAAGCCTTCTTCCACCTGCACTTCCCGAGTTCCACGTGAATGAGCCACGAACTCCCAGGTTCTCCAGACTCAATCCAGAGTAACCGACTCCACCACCTTCGCCATCACGCTTTGTCCGCCGTACCGCTTCACGCAGATGTGACGGTAGAAGCTGGCCACGGTGTGGGTTTGGTGGAGGACGGAACTCGCGTCTGGCGCGGAGAGGAATGGGAGTTGGGTGAGGAGAGGATGTTGTCGAGTTCTGATGAGTAGGGATAGAGGGTGTAGGCGTACGGTTAGAGTCATGTGGTTCTTTCTTAATTCCGTTGCTGAAAGAGGCTGACGCCGATCCGGGGACTGGTGTGCCTCCGGGGGTTGGCGTAGAGGGTTTTGAATTTGCGTTCACACCTGAGGCTTTCGCCTGAGCCGCGGCTTCGGCAGCGGCTTCTTCGGCTTCGAACGCATCGCGCGCAGCAAGGTCGTGTGCTTCGGCCCATTGGGTCTGGACCGTTCGCGCCATTTCAATCATTTCACCAGCGAAGACCTTGGTGAAACCGTTGACAGTCGTCACCACGCTGGCTGGAACGGACTGTGAGAGGGCATGGTTCACGATACGGCGGAGTGTTTCTTTGCGCAGCTTCGCTCGCTTGAACAGATCATATCGCTCCGATTGCATGGGGTTGAAAGCATCAACCAGAATCCTGCGCAAGACCAACATTAGCTTCATCCAATATTACCAGAATGGCAGCAGGGGAAAACGTACGCTAGGTTCTTCTTCTCAGCCTCTGTATCCGTCGCTCCTTCTTGCTGCCCGAATAGCTCTGCCTCATCGTCATCGTCATAATCGTCCGCATCGTCCGCACCCCCACCGCCACCTCCACCTCCAGAAGGACCACCTCTAACCGAACCCTCGTTATCGACTGATCCGAACCGTGTAGAATCTCCCGCCCTGGTGCTGAGAGCATCCTCACGCTCCCGTTCCCGCTCTTTCTCGGCTTTACTCTTGCGTCCTCGTTTCTTTCCCCGTGCGGCACCAGAGAAGATTCCATCTGCGCTTGCTCCGCCCAGACTCCCTGTAAAACTGCCTGTCACGCTCCCGGCTTCACTGGTACCACCAAAACTGCGATCTCCAACATCGATGCCGGTCGGGAATGAAGTCTGGCGGAGTGGGTGCATGCGCTGCTTCTTGCCAAGCGGCTGTGAGGCGGAGGAGGCGATGGAGGGTCGTTTGAGGGGGTTGGATGATGATTGGTATGGTGGTGGTGACGACATTTTGAGAGGCTGTATTGGATAAATAGGGGCGGGGTGTGATGCGCGTATGATGGTTCGATAAACTCGTATCCAAAACAGTTGCTGCGAGGATGCTTAGTTTACTCGACAGAGTATGAGCGCAAGCTGAAGCTCTATTGAGGGCCGAGGATTTCGCGCTGCGCTGTTGCGCCGGGCGCAGGAAGGTGGATATCAACCTCGGAATGGAATGAAAAAGGAATGTTAGTCTCGAGTGATAGTAAGATATCTCTCAAAGGACCATAGATAGCGATATAATTTTGCGGCGGGGTTTCGATGAAAGTAGCTGGTTGCAATCGATTGGAAGCAATTTGGACGAGACACGAGATAACGACGCATCTCACCGCCTTCCGTCTTGTGAACTATAGCCCTATTTTATCGGACACTGTACGGGAATTCTTAGAATTTACACTCTACACTGAAGGCAATGTGATGCAGAAAATGATTATTGTGGTTCAATATGCTTGGGTCGACTCCGCAAATGAGTCTTCGAAACCAGGTATTATGTATGATCAAAGGAATGACAGAACAACGAAATTCCGAGAAAAATCGAAGCTCGATACACCTATGGTTCAAGATTTTCAACTCAACCACTGTAACAAATGAAAGAATGAATCGCTCAGCTTAATCATGCGATGCTGTGCACTATGTAAGGAAACGAGATTGACACAAAAAATGAACAAAGCAGAGGGAACTGTGCAGGTATTGAATGCCAAACTTGACAGAACCCGAAACGGATAGAAAGGTCACAACCGCGAGGAGAGAATAGTCCAATGGCGGATGGCTGAAGAACCAAGTCACCTCAGAATCCCTTCTCTCCAAGTCGCGGTGCCCCCCCTTTCCAGTCATTGCGTTCGTAGTAACGGAACACAAGATCATAACCGTTCAGGTCATGGACGATGCGGTCGACACGACGGTAGCCTTCGACGTGCTCCATCTTGTTGCTGCGGCGAAGAGCCTGGCGCTGAGCGTGCGCCACATCATGCTGCCCATTCGCCTCCTCGAGCTCATCCAACGCAGGCTTAGTCTCGAACAAGGTGATGCTGAAACGGCCAGGCTTGAAGATGGCAACAACCTGCTGGATGATGTCGGCGGTGGCCTTGCCGTTCTGAGAGTGCGGGACGTTGGTCTCAAAAGACGCGTACGAACACTGAGGCTCCGGTGTGACATGCACGGTGAAGTAGTGGGTCGGGGCGTTGCCATCAGGAGCCGGCACAACGCCATTGGCAGAGAAGCCACATGGAGTGAAGAGGTACGCGTCGATGCGAGCATCCGGGAACTTGCTCTTGGGATACACGTCGGACAGGCCGCATGACTCAGACACAACAGTGCCCAAAGCGTGGCCCTCGGTGGTTAGCTCCGGCGGCAGGATGCCACCAGTCTCCTCATCCATGTCGGAGGTGTTGCTGAAGACGTCAAGATGATCAGTACCATCGTCTTTCTCGCGGTGACGCTTCTCGGCCACAGCAGTAGCGTTTTCAAGGTAGAACTGCTTCGCATTTTCCTCGTCAAGGTCGGTCATCAGAACCTCGAGGGTCTCATCGTGCTCATCACAATCAGTGCGCATTTTGGCGTCAGGGAAGCTGAGGACCTTGGTTTCGGTCTCGTGGAAGTCAACCTCCTCCTTGGGACTCGCCGGTGGGGTGAGCACGGTGCCAGGCTCGGTAAGGTAGAGATACCAATGTTCTCCATTCATCTTCCCGATCATGTAGGCGCTGCCGTTGACGAACAACCTATCCATAGATCGCACCTCATCGCGCCAGCTGCGGTGAGGGCCACGCTGACGGTCAGGGAACAGGAAGTTCTTCCGGCTGTAGAAGACTCGGTAAGGAGCCGCAGCCACCGTGATACCCCGGGATGGAGGAGCGGTGGCGCGTGGGAACCCTGCGAACAATGCAGCGATTTCCAAGATGCGGGGAAGTCCCCGAGAGCAAGGTGGTGGTTCCGCACGTCTTGAGAATCAACTTGTGCGGCCAGACAAACATGCTGGACTCGGACAGAAGGTAGGCGTCCATCTCATCGGAGGTGATAACGGAAAGCACCTGGCAGTTGACCAGGTCCAACATATCCTTCCAGATTTCCCCGGGCACTTTCTTAAGGCCTTCGGGGCCGGCGGCGCCTAGTTCAGCGGCGGATGGTGCAAACCATACCTCGAGAAGCTTCTCAGGACCTTCGAAAGCATTGGTCGAGTCGAGATCCTGAGTGGCCTCATAGTTGATTGTCAGAGACGGCGTCCCCGCGAACGAGGATGGCGAGGTGGTGTAGTTCGTTGGAATGCCGACGTAAACCATGATGACTGATGTAGCTTGAGCTGTTGTACTTGTGTATTAAACGAAGCAGGAACAGTGACGTCGAACCGCCCTATGTACTTCGATGAAGATAGGCTGTAGAAGCACTGTCTACTTGCCCAGACGAACAAGGGGGCGATGCCCGTCTGAGAAGAGAAGGCCCTGAAACAAAAACTTAACTGGTCAGACCAGGCGGATATAATCTCCAAACAGACCGAAGGGCTGCTAAGGAGGGCGGAAGGCGAAGGACAAGAAGAAGATGCTAAGAGAAATGGTGACTAGCAGTCGGCACCCTCGTCCTGGAAGATACCGATACCGGTCAAAGTATCGGGTCTAGCAGACGAGAATTCTGCTTTGGAAAAAAAAAGTGTATTGGAAAACGTGGGAGTTGGTGACGACGGGAGTCGCGTTATCGAGGCCTAGAGCAGTATGATGGTTAGAAACAGTGCTATAAGAGAAGATAGACATATTGTAATTCATTTGTTGTATTCGAGATCATGGCATTGACCATGATATCCCGATCCAATGGCTTTGATTGCCTTTGGCAATGGCACTTTCCCAAAGGCAGAGAGGGAATCACACTTACTTCGCGGGCTTGGACAAGAATCGCAGAAGGTCAGTTGGGCTCATGGAAGGCGAAGACAAGTTCGGCTTAGATCAGCACGAGGTAGCGGAGGGCTACAGTCGTGAACATCGGCAGGGTTTGTCTGTAGGACAGTCTCACCCAGAAGCCCAATGGGTGCCCGAGATCAGGAATTGATTACTCAAGGGCTGGAGGGAACAAGGAATCTCTCGCTAAAAAAAAATTGGCGAAGCAGTTTTTGTTGCTTGGTGACCTCGAGGAGGGGAAGTGCAAAATGTTTGCTGCCAGTTCGGTTGGTAATGAGTGATTTTGTCTGTGGGCCCGCGATAAGGTGGGGCAGAACGGATCAAAATCTGTCTGACATCAGGGAACAAAATTGTGTTAGTTGGTATTTCAATTGCAGGAAATATATTGGAGTCTGTAATATGTTACACACAAATTGGGCAAGTTAACTGCAGTAAGATACAGACCGTCACGGACGATTTCGACCTGTCAGAAGGGAAATAGGGGGAGAAAAACCCCCCCCCCCCCCCCCCCCTAAAGCGGACGAGGCCCCGGTACTCACACGAGCGGTGATTCCAGGCAGAATTAGACTTTGCTCCTGACGCTACCTAGGTATTATATAAGATTATCCTGACTCAGCATATAGCGGAGCCCAAGCGGGGAGATTTGAAGATGTACTATGCACCCAGGGGGCCTCTCTATATATAGGGCTACAACTATGAATGTACCAAGTACACGGTAGGAATGTCGATATCAAGCCACTGCCGATGGAGAAATACGAGTGACCGAACACCGCAAAACTATGAGTCAACTGGGCCTCTAAGGAAGTCCAAGATTAGCTCAGGCCTACTCAGTAACCTTGGAAGCAAAAAGCGAAGCCCTTGGTTTCCCGAGAACAAGAATAGAAAAGAAAAGCCAAGATAGGTATCACAGAGGCAATCCACTACGTAAGCAGGATATCCATGAATATACAGGTTACCATATGAAACACACTGATCAATGGCTGTGTCATGTAATTAAAAACATATCCAGAGGCTGAATATGTCTACCTAGGTATCCATAATCCCCGAACCAACGCCCGAGATAACGCCATGTCGCATGAAGAAATCATCTCGACCTCATTTGCAAAAGCACCCGAGAGATATCATGCAGAAAACCCAGAAAAGTCATTCATGCTTCCAAAATGATATGCGCTAACTGCACCTCACCAGCCTCCACAATCCTTGCCGTAATGATATCACCGACCTTGTCAACAAGTCTGGAGCGGAGGTCGTCTGTGACAGTATGACCATTGGTCAAAAACGGTTGGCTACCACGCAGCGAGGCCAACACAGCCACAAGTGCATTCAGAACTCGCTCCGCAGCTGGCCGACGAGCAGCATCGTCCAAGCCATCGTTGAGAAGTTTGGTATATTCGGGCAGATTGGGAATGACAAGCACTCGGATTACTTCAGAGCCGCCGACAGATTGCAGTCCGATGATGGCACCATAGTGAGCACCGAATGGCTTTGCAGGGTCGAGGAAGGTCTTGAGACAGGAGCGCACGAGTCGAGGCTTGAGCATGTGAGACGAATGGGAGTACTTTTTGGCGATGAGACTGAGGAGAGAGGCGGCCATATCGCGCAGAGCGAATGACTCCACGAGATCCGCAGTTCCACCAAGCTGTCGGCCGATGAGACAGGTAAGAATGGATGGTACGAGGGATGCGATCTGATGCGGTTAGCGTTTGAACATGTTCTTCCAATATGGCAGGGTCTACTCACGTAAGGGTCCACGTAAAGTGACTGGTTCTGGACCAGCGCCTCGGCCATGTGCATCACTTGAGTAAGAACGAAAACATTCTTGAGACTGTGCGTGACCTTCTCGGCAATGAATTGGACAAAGTATGGCACCAGCTGGTGCAGACCTGGGTCCTCGCGAAGGCTGGAATACCCGGAGGTGCGATAATCCTCGCTGGTTTCGTGCAAAAAGGCACTGCAGACCTTTTCAAAGTAGAGCTGGAGTTCCCTTGAAAGCACATGCTTGACCAGTGGCTTGACAGCCACATCGCCTGTGCCACTAATTGCCGCCAGTGTGGAGTTAGCGTTCGGACCCTTGGAGACCAGTTCGAGGTTGCGAGAATCGGCAGCGGTTGGGTTCTGAGGGATCGATGGCTGCACACCTTCGACAGCCAACCAGTGGGCTAGAATAGACGTTAGTGGTTAGACGGCACATCGAAGTAGGGAAGAGTATCCACTCACCAGTGAAGGAGACTTCGCGGGGAACTTTTGGCAGAGGCGCATTGATCAACTTCTCAAAGTCCACCTCCTCATCTTCAACGTAGAACAGCGGTTGGCCAGGTCCTAAAGACGCTTCGCCGAACTTCAACGGACGGGTGGAGTCGTAGCCATACAATGGCTCCACGTCCAGGTTGCGCAACGCCAGCGCGATGTCTTGAGTGGTAAGAACGGTGCGCTTACAGTGGCGCATACACTTCAGCGCTTCCTCGAGCACCTGCGCAACTCGATATTCGACGTCCCGGGCGAGATTCTCGGTCACATCGTTATTGAGGTTGAGGATACCGACGGATTCGGCGACATCGCGGATGTTATCGGGGTTCCAGACAGACATGGTGAAAGGGTGTAGTCTGGAACGAAGAGGGGAAGATCGAGATAAATCCGGATTCAGGTAATAATGGTGCTATCGCGAAAAGTGAGGTGAACAGGCGAGGGACGAGGGGGCAGATGAGGTTTAGAAGGCGAGTCGCATTCTGAGGCCACCGCCAGCGGATCCACAGATTAGACAATAACAGCCTTTCTATTGAGTCGGTATTGTGTTTAAACGATGAATGAAACGCGGCAAATTTCAATGGATAAATGGAACAAAGTGAACAAGCGCCGCCTGGAAGATGAAAGCTTGTCGATAAGAGTTGCGCGAGTGGTTCTGCAGTCACCCGTATAAGCTGCCCTGCAGCCTACATGTACATTGAGATACTTTTGCTTCATGAAAACATCAATCTTTCGCTATCATCACAAACAGATAATGATAAAATTAAGTATGGCTAACCATGAGGTACTAACAATACAGTGCATCTTGAGAGAGCACACCAATGACCTGAAACCAGGTACACAAGAGCGGGGAGTGCTATTCACTGCTCCTCCGGGTATCATAACAGACAACACCAGCCAAATATTGATCTACTGGGCTCCATCCTTTGCAGTTTCTTCCTTCAGAGACTCAGTGAGAATATCTGCTTTGGCAGGCTCCTTGGCAGTCTCCTCCTGGGGTGCCTGCGCCTTGGGAGTTTCTTCCTTCAATGGCGCCTCCTCCTTGATGGGTTCAGCAACAGCAGGCTCCTCAGCAGACTTGCCCTTGCCCTTGGTCTCCTGTTCCTTGTCATCGACCAGTGGGATGAGCCTAGCGTTCTCCTTCAGCTCCGGACCCTTGCCACCATAAACTTTGGGAATTTGTTCAGCAATAGAAGGAGAGAACTCCCGAGCCAAATTGGCGCCATTCGTGATCGGGTGGAACTTGCGCGTGGTGTTCCGGCTCAGGATGAGCTTCATAGCAGTGAACATCCAGCCCATGATAGCAGGAACGTTGACGAAGAACTTCTCACTCAGGAGCTCTGGGTATGCTGTAGCGAAGACTTCGATGACCTTCTTGGTTGCGGCACGGACAGATGGATCCATACGGAAGAACTTGACATTCAAGTAATCGTGCACTTGGATCATCTGGTAGGGATCCTCGCCATCGTACTCGATGACCTCGGTGGCATCCTTCATCTTCAGGTCCTGTACGGCGAGTTCCATGAGAGCGGCGCGCCATTGGACGAATCTGCGGCCAGTTAGCATTAATTTCAATTATAAATGAATTTTCATGCCGGGTTCTTACTCGTCTGTATCCGCGAATGTCGTACCGATATCCTTCACGGCTCCGTAGATGTTCCAAGTAAACACCAAGGGCCGTCCGTTCTCCTCATAGGTCGTCAGATATCCCAAACCCCCGAACTTAGCCGCGCTGTATTTCGCGGACTCTGCCAATGCTAATGGGTTCACGTCCTTGCGCCATTGGAGTGCCTTGCTAAGCTGGGTCTCGGCGGCTTTGGCATTGCCTTCGTTTGCGCGCAGGAACTTGATCAACACGTTGACAGTGGGAATATCGTCGCTATCCTTGAGTGGCACTCCCCACATCTCAGTGTGACCAATGTTTCCGACGATGGTTGGCAGGCGGTTGAACAACTCACCCAACGCCGGGTTCTTGCTTAGGTAGGATGGCTTCTCAACCTTGGGTTCTTCAGACTTTGTCGCCTCGGGCCCTGCAGTGGCAGCGGTGGAGGCAGTAGCATCATTTGCAGCTACTTCCTCCTTGACTGGGGCACTGGCAGGTTCATCTTTGGCTGCAGTCTGTTCGGTATTTTCATCAGCAGTCGCGGGAGTTTCCACGGGCTTATCGACTGCTTCCACGGTTTCCTCGGGCTTCTCAGGCACAACCGGCGCAACCGGCGCAACAGGCGCATTCTGATCAGCTGTGTCCGGCATGATTGATATGATTGAAATGGAGGGTGTGTTGAGGTTAGAGGAAATAGGGGTTTTTGAATTCACAGGGGTTGCAGTTGCCTTGTCACTAATCGGGCCACTTATCAATCCCCCCACCTATCAGCTATATTGCGTTGTTTCAAGACATATCACATCCACCTTGAATGTATTTTTATTTTTCTAACGGTGTTTCCTAAGTTGTATGTTTTTGTTCTATGCCATTTTTTAATCCAGAACATGTGAATATTAATATTGTATTTGCTTTGGGATGAAACGAAGCAAGTGTGAAACTATAAGCTGGAATTTTTCATACACTTCTGATTTTCCAATTGGATATCCTGGGAGATTCCTAGCCCATATGCACAGCTCATATAGATTTCAATAGCTCCAATAATTGTCATAGATATTCATATGCATCTGAATCAAGTAGCCATATCGCATTCTCCGGACTTGCTTGCCCCTAGTACACTACTCCCAAACTCGTTATACCACTGCTTACATGGGTTTCTATCCAACTTTGTAGCCCACGTTCCACTTCATAGCATACCTCTGGTACGACTCAATAAGGACCAATGCGAGACTACCGGCCCTTTCTGACTTGGTTGAATTTAACGTATCTATGTATATTTCAGACGAGGGGAAAGAGAAGCTCAGAGTTGCTTGCTACTTTAGTATTATAACTTGTAGGTCAAATGCTTCTTTAAGATTCACCAGAAATGACTAGGTAGTTTTCAAGATAGTATTAGCTGGCCAATACATTCACTTGCAACCTCAAGACTACCCCTTTGTCATAATTTTTCCAAAGACCGACCGTCTGCATGGGAAGCATAAGGAGGGCCTCTGGGCAAAGTTCCGAGCGAAACAAGAGGAGAAGTCTCGCGCGCTACCATTGTGATAGGCGGGCTTCTTGTTGAAAGACTAAGATTCCAACGGCACTTTCTTCGGTAATTTCGATAACTTTGGCCACTACCATGAGGCCAAGGGATTGGCTGATATGGAGTTTCTTTATATATAGATGGTTAGAAAGTAAGCGAAATTGATTCTCACTAGGTATCATAGATTACTTTCTCTAGGGTAGATAGGCAGTAGCTTGAAAAACTTCCAAGGTTGTTCTTTTAAAATACTTGTCAGATTTCATAGTCCTACCTATGTAGCTTCTTCAACTCTTCAATGAAATAACCTCAAATTGCACCATGCATCTTGAGGTCTCCGTAGACCTCTCCTAACAAGATTGCTTTGGAAGATGATTATACTTGAACTAAATTCCCATGCAGATCATGAGACTGGTAAACTTACGGAGTACGCCGTACAAAACGGAGGAGAAATCAATGCAGTCAGCAGCTTTCAGCCAAGCCACCTGTTCGGAAACGGACGCAGGCAGATGTGACCGAAACCTTCAACCTGCATATGCGGAAGCACATTGGCCAAGCAGGGGAAGGGATTCACGAGGTGCAGATGCCAACAATGTACGGAGTAGCGTTTAACTATTGCGTCTGTTGGCATGATTCTGGCAGCTGTCTGGTCCCGTAAATGGGTTCTTATACACATTGAATACGTTCGCTAAACAGGCTGAATTAATATTATTGCCTTATATTTTGTATTCTCTTCGACATGTAGCGGTTAAGGTTCATCAGTCCCAAAGTCACTATCACACTCTTCCTTTTGACGACTGGTTGGACCGAGGTTAAAGGCAGCGTTGACGCTAGCCAGCAAGGAAATAACCACTACAGAGTATAGTCGTTAGAATGGGAAGAAACCCGTCAATATGCATAACTTACCGAGTACACACTGCAGCTCAAGATACCCAAATCTTTCGACCATAAACCCAGCCAAGATGGGTCCGACCAGTAGACCAGACATCCAGCTCATATTTGTGACTGCAACAGCTCGAGAATACCCCCCATAGGGACCAAATATACCAGGATGCAAGTCCTCCAACTCATCAACGGTTGCTGCAGAGAACATATCAGTATTCCAGTTCCCAGAAATGACACCCCAAGCTTACCGGTTGCTTCCATCGTCCCAACCCCCATGAGCAAGCACATAAAACACCCAATCATAGTCGTACAGACGCCATAAATGACCCCCCTCTAGTTCCCAAAGTAGCCCACGGAAAGCGCTCATCACCAGCGACTCCAAGAACCCACAGAAAAGGCGCAACGAAGAGAAACCCAATGGTAGTGGGAACCCTCGATCCCACGTGGTCTTTCAATAACCCAACAAGAGGAGCCAGTATCATCCCCGGTCCCTGGATAGACGCGAACAAAAGCCCGACCGGGAAAACGCCCCAATCAAACGCATACCGGACATGCATCGCAATAGTAGACTCGAAACTGGCAATAAACAGCGCAAAGACAAAATAGCAGACAATTCCCGCCGTAAAGCGAGGCTGCCGGAAAAGGCAGGTATAGAAGCGCCAACCGCCAATTTCCTCGGTAGTCGATGACCGATCTCCATTGAGAAGTGGTTCTGTTTCAGCCGAGTGTATATGTTCTTCAGCACATAGAGATCCATTGCGAGTCTGAGAAGCGATATTGCGACGTTTCTGTGGTTTTTCAGTCATGAGCAGACGCATAATGATATCCATGACGAGAAACAGAGCCGCGCCAGCCCATGCCGTCCAGTATCCTCCAATTCCAAAGAGAAACCCAGAAATGACAGGGCCGGAGCATGTCCCGGCTGCTGTTAAGGTCGAGCTTAAGCCTGCTATCTTGCCCATGTGTTCTGACCCGATGTTCTCGGCCATTGTGGCCATGCCGACGATAAATAATGCGTTGCTGACGATGCATTGGAAGAAGCGGCCGATGAAGAGCCAGGTCACTGGGAATGTGTTAGTACAATAGGACGTAGTACGATTTACAGTATAAAAAATATAACTTACGGGATGTAGTGATCGATAGACATAATACGCTGATCAACGTCAGTACCAGCAACACCATTAGTAGAATCTTCTTGGAGCTAGCTCGGTCGGCTATATTCCCGACAAATGGACTCGAGATGATAGATATCAATGCGCCTTCAACTAGAAACATGGAGGTCAATCGCTGGGTGAGGGATGTGTTTAGCCCTAGGCGGTTCTCGAAGATGTAAGGGAGCAGTGGAACCATGAAGGCGAAGAGCATTTCGTCTAGAAAGAGCAATTTTGGTCATAAGATAAGATCCAATCTCTTCATTGTAATAGTTCAAAGTACGAACCTGTGAACAATGCCATAGCCATGCTGCTGAGAATAAATGTATCGGACGAGCGCCAGCGATATCCCCATGTCTGACATGAAACCTGTTTCTTGGTATCCGGTAAAGGAAACATTTTGAAGGACTAGATTATCAATTAAACAGCTATTCTGGGTCAATCAATATAACGAAGCAAAAGATGAAAAGTTAGGATTGAGCGGAAAATTCCAGGCGAAATATATGTGCCAAAGGTAGATAGCTTAGGAGGGACATCGCCTATATTTGCCCAAAGTCAAGCAAATAATGAGACATGAGCACTCCGTACGCCATACACTGGCTGTAGAGCTAATGTTATGATTGCTTTTCCCCTTCCGACCAATGTGAACCCCGTCTTCGACGTGCATTGATGCCCAGTGGCTCTAGCGAATACCAGGTGAATGCCATTTATAATTCGGGCCATTCTTAAATTACAGAAGCTGGTTGGTAGTATTATAAAGACCATAGGGTTATCTAGTAACACAAGAAACATACTTATTTTCGCCTTTATATCTATGTAGGACAAGCCCCGGGACGATCTTCAGATCTTCAGAGCTTATTTGCACAAGAAAGAAAGATGCTACAGTGCTATCTAGGTACATATGAAGTCGGATAACGTAAATCATGTATTCATTTCCCCTGAATCGAAGGGTCACATGGGGATAGACCTCAGTCTGGAGCGAAGAGATCATCTGCCAAATGTAAACCCGACTAGGAAACGAGCAAGAATAAAAATCCCGGTAAAGGGGGATAGCACTGGGGGAATATGCACAGGAGAAGAGAACACAGAATAAAAAACAGGAGAGACTGGCGCGAGGGCAATCTGAAACCAACTAGGACCGCCGTTAGGGAAAAGACTAGACCCAAAGATACGAAAGCACAGAAAAAGATCAGAAAAAAGACCAGAAAGCCAACCTATCTCTATAGTCCGTTGTTGCGTAACCGTTCAGGCATTGGGGGCATAGACGGCGGGGGACCAGGCTCCGATCCGTCGGTATCTTCCATTTCCTCATCCAAATCCTCGGGGTGGCTAGATATATAAAGTCAGCTTATAAAATCAAAGTATTAGGGCTGGACCGGGATCAACATACGCAAGTAGCTCCTTGATATTCCTCATCTCATAGTGCCTCTTGCGCTGCTGCTCGAAATGAGCGTGCTTCGCGCGGGCCTCTTCAGTCGTCAAGAGCGGATCATGTTCAGGCGCATCGGCACCATTTGCATCCTCCAAACCGACATGAACATGTTTCTCGCTCTTGTGCGAGTCCGTGCTCATGCTACGGTCACGGAAGACACGAGCGTCGTTCATAGCAACGTCCTGCATGTGCTCCTCGGCTTCACCGAGCTCCAGGTCAGGGATTTCGTCCTCTGACACGCCCTTCCGGTGTTGGGTGGATTTGGCTGGCTTGTCTAGCTCATCGACAACAACGCCCTTCGCATCGATTAGGCTTTGTTGTGCCTCGTCGAGCCGCATCTGCTCATCATCTTCGCTGGGGTCGTAGTGGGGGGCGTAAGGAGTCTTGGGTTCGTCGATCTTCATCTTTGCGGTCTTCTCCTGCTCCGTCAGGTACAAGTTTGCCTCGTCCCACTTTAGACGGGGCTCGTTTTCATCATGGGCGCTGGCTGATGACCGTCGGCGCGAGGCAGAGCCTCGGCGGGTGGTGGATGAGGATCGACGGCCTGCATTCACTAGGGTGTTTTGGATGGTGAGTTCCTTGGTCTCCTCGGGCTCGGAGATGGCTGGAACGGAGGGTGGGGATGTGGGTGCCATCGGGGCTGAGGCGCCTTGGAAAGAGTTGGAGTTCTTGAGGATGCCTGTTTAGTTCATGGAATAACGCACTGGTCAGATCCCATCGTTGCTTTTGATCACCGTTTGGTGCTGATGTAGTTTGAACTCACCTCTTGGCCGATGGTGCACATCATCGGAGCTGTGCACCTTGGCCGGCATGTGTGGTGCGGTAGTCATGGTGGGATGGTATTTGGGAAAGACCGGGTATCGCCCGATTTGCAAGTGGACGATGTAATAAGAAGACTGATTTCCGAGGGTGGGGAATCAGGGAAATCAAAGGGGTGTGGCCTGTTTTATTTTGATTATATCACAAGCCTCAAAGTTTGGCTCAGCTGCAATCCGTGCGAGAGGAAAAAAGAGGCTGAGCACCGCCTGATGTGGTTGGTAGGGCGGGTGGAAACGGATAAATCAAAATGAACAGCCTGACTCAGATAGATGACGGTCAGCTCACAGTCACGAGTTGAAGCAAAAAAGAGAAGAATATGTATAAGGTCAAGTGGTGGGGTGCAAATCCACTCGATGACGTCGGCCCGATCATCTACCCGACGCAAAATCCAGCTTAGCCAGCGTTTATCAGATTGAGGTATACCTGGGCAGCTGAGAGGCTGAACGTCATATTATAAGGTTGTCCAGGTGTAACCTTCTACTTGAAGCTATATGATAGCCTTGAAAATAACTTGCAAAACTGTCAGTGCATGACCTTCAAAAGACACAATATATATCACTATAGTATGGAGGGATACGAACATTACTTGTAAAGGAATAGGAAAGGAAATATAACATTAAACTAAGATCAAGACAGCAAACCGCCCAGTCTTTCAATGTATTCAAGAACGCCAGTCATGTTCCAGAGCCAAGCCCAGATAGAAACCCGAGGCAAGAGTCCCAAAGTCCACGAATGCCTTAAAAACACCCAACTAGATCGCCCGAACGGGGGTATATGGATATATATGCAACGACGTAATAATCACGATGTAGAAGATAAGAAAGGAAGAGAAGGTCAAAGTGAAAGAGAAAAAAAAAAAAGATCGAACCAGCGAGAAAAAGAATGATAAAAGAAAAAAAGACAGCAAGACCAGAAAAAGAACAGGCCAAGAAGTCTCTCATGCAATGGAGTCAAACTCCTCACGCTCACGAAGTCTGTTCCGAGCAAGAGTATCACCACCACTGGCCGACAGCTGCATCCAGTGCAGCGCCAGACACATACTCTGTGGGTCCGATTTAGAGTCCTTGTCTCGTCGATACATCATCTCCGCCTTGAATGTATCCCGCGGGAGGGTCAGAGGGAGTGTCACGCGTGGGAGAAGCTCCGGATGAGTCAGATAAAGGATAGCAAGTTCGCGCTGTGCGACTGGGTTTCCCTCTTTAGCAGTGATGATCCACATTCCCGCTGCATCTTGGATAGCATGGCCGGGGCGGGATTGGAAGTCCGAGGCGAAGGGAGGATGGCGACGGGATAGCTCCTGGAAGACGATTCGGTCGGCGATCTCGACCATGCTGTGGCAGATCTCTTCTTTGAGGCTTAGTGCGGCCAGACCAAATTGGAGGAACGCTGTCCCGCGGTCCGTCTTGTTTAGCTGATCTCCTGGGACGAATGCTGAGATAAACTGCAGGTCCCTGAAAAGGGTCTTCGGCTTCACTTCTAGAATCAGATCGCGCAAGGTTGCTACGATTTGTGCTTCCTCCGGGGTGGAATAGTCCGATCGTCGGGATCCATATGTGACTGACTCGGGAGGGGAAGAAGGTAGTACTGGGTCCATCTGTGGAGGGTTGTTGGGCCGCACCTCTGAGAAACTGTGGCGAGTGGCCCGGTGGAGTTGTGGACTGCTCCGCATCCTGTCACCTTCTCCCGGGGAAGAGCTGAGAGTAGTAGGGGAATTGGCATCTTGTGGCGAAATGAGCGACGCAACCACCAACGACCGCAAGTCCCGCAACGCGTTGAGCTTTACAAATGGATTTCCATGACGCGAGAACACTTCGATCAGCCGGTGGAAGACTGCCTTGTATGAAAATGCCGACTGCCCGTCCGATTCCTCAAATGCTTCCGGTAGCTGCGACGAGGCCTCCACACGAGGAGCTTTGTGTTGAGATACACGCAGGTTGTCCAGAGACCTGCTCCGGCGACCTTTTAATGAACCACGTTGCTGACCGAGATGCTTGGAGCGCTCTTCATAATCGACGTAGAATTTCTGCACAGCAGCTCGTCGTCGCATTTCCACCTGAATGCGTTTCTGGTCCAGCGCATTGGTGAACCAGGCGTCGGTTTCACTACCACAACTCCATACAGGAGAGCCCAAGTCGCTCAAAAGCAGACTAGTCAGTGTCTGTCTCAAGCCATCCATGAATACCGTCTTCCCGTGTGTTTTGCGTTCAACACGACGGGGCTGGCGGGTTACGGTCTCACTGAACATAGATGGGGGTCGCGAGTACGCGCTCGACGCGCTTGCGGCATACATAGGGTGCCGCTGGGGTGCAGACCAGAATGTACTGTAGGTATCACCGGTAGATGTCGAAGCAGCACGACCGGGTGAACCTCCGAGAGAAGACATGTCAATCGAGTGTAAATCACGCTGAGGCCTCCATTTATCAGAGATTATGCTTTGGATGGAGGGCTTGCGACCCAATGACGGGGTATCTTGAGAAAGTCGAGACATAGGATCGGGCATAGACATATTGGCGCCATAGAAGTGAGAAGCAGAATTTGTGTCCTCGCTTGTGGTCGTTGAGGGCCGAGGAGTGCTAGGCATGGACATTCCTGGGAATGTGCGAGAGCCGTAACCCTCAAATTTTGAGCGTTCCCTCTGGAAAAGCTCACTTGCCCATAACACCGGCGTCTCGGTCATCGTTTCACCCACCAGTTTATTGATGCTCATCCGGACCTCGTAACAGAATCGATGAATTCTTTCTTCACCCTTGCAGAAATTGTCGATTCCGTTGTGCGACAACCATTTCTGAGTCAGCTCGACTTGCTCGTCAGACAACTTATTCGGTCCACCTTGGCTACTGGGCGCCTTCATCATGTTCATAACTTGCACTTCTGGTTTCTGGAACAAGGAGCCACCCAAAGACTTTGCTCCGTAGCGAGAACGCTGTTCTTCTGGGAACTGGTTGAAGAGTCGGGCTGAGTAGATCATCGTTTTCAAAGCCATAGCCACATGCTTAGCCTCCTCATATCTGATGGAGTTCTTGACGTCGTTCATGTACCACATCTTGTCTCGGATCTTGCAAAATGTGGCCGTCAGGTCTTTGACTTGAGTTTGGAGTCGGCGGAGACTGTGATCGAGAGACACAAAGTCACTCTCGCAACGCTCAATGACAGCTCGTGATTGGATCAGTGAATGGCTATAATTATCATGCATCGGGCCCAGGATCCATGAATCGTCTGTCGTTCTCGATGAGCTAGGTGTTCCTCGTTGCCCGAGCTGCTGTGAAGCATTCCACCAGTAGTGTGCACCAACAAAATCGGAATCATGATGGCAGCAGAACATCGCTTCGTTGAACCGCTGCTTCAAGGACATGGCGGCTGGTTGCGTAGTTTTCTGTGAAGGGAACCCATAGTCGCCGGCGTCTTGAATGCGGTTCTCCTTAACAAGTCGAACGATCGCTGTCTGTAATGCTTCATGATTCTCCTCCAGTCCTAGCGTCGTGGAGTGCGCGTCATCTTCACTTTCAATTATCGGGCCTTTGGACATTTCATATCTGCTATCAGGAAGGAGGCTCCAAGTTAAGCCATGGCCGTCTGCTGCAACTGAGAAAATGGTCCAATGCTCGTCTGAGGGGTGCTCTAAGCTCAGCCGCTCATTAGGATGATCTAAATCGGTTAGCTCGAATCGAATGCGAGCGGCCTTTTCAGATAGGCTATTTTCTGCTGCTAAAATAGAATGAGCTTCCACTGAGAATATGGAACCATTATGTGATGTAGGTTTTGAACTTGAGTCGTGCTTGAAACGAGCGAATCCAGAGTCCATAAGTGAATCTGGCCGTAGGTTGACAGATGGTGGTGGACTAGAGGGCCAAGAATGAACACCTGCAGAGGCTGGTGAGGAATGCAAAGAAGAAGGCGCCTGTTGGAAGAGAGTGTCTAGGAGCGTGAGAACATCCAGAGCAGACATCATCAGGAAAGTTGAAGGAGACTTTCGTCGATGAGGAAGTGGTGCCTGTGAAACGGTAATAGAAGGGTCAATCGATACCTCCGACGGCATTGTGTCATGGAACCGTGAAAGCATTTTTTCGACACGGCCTTTGATTATCGGACGAGGGATTGAGAAATGATGCCTTGAAGAGATCAGTAACAATGTCGAAATCTGCAGAAATTTCAAGCTAGGATGACATACATTGAACGCAAAACAGCAAAGACTTGAGCGTAGGCACGGTGCCCAACCTGGTTCAGCAATTTCTCGCGGGCATCCTTTCTGATATGGAAGTCTAGGAGAAGACCGTGGGTCTATCATAGCAATAGTAGACTGGAGTCAGCTTCGCAAGTTCACCAAGTACTAGAGGTTCATATACCTCAGGATATGTCAATGCGCGATAGAGGAACTTTGAAAAGAACCATTGGAGGAACAAAAACTCCAAGAAGCGACTGCGGGTCTCGGGGTTATCCAACTTCCGCAAAACGGCCCTTGCAAACTGTAGCACGGCGTGAGGAAAGCCGCCGTCCGGGTCATCAAGTACACGAAACAGGTCATCCACGGCAGAAGCAAAGAATTCCTCTGCAACATCCGTTCGCATGGGGTCCAAGGAGTCCATGGCAAAATCCAGTCCGGGTGGTGTGGCTATAGGCTCTAGGAGAAAAGCACCGGTTTGTAAAATGTCCATTAGGTATAGTTCAAATTTGGGGCGGGCTTTCCAAGTGCTGCCGGTGGTCCAAGAAGAAAGGATCTGGCCGATAAGAGGATAGTATCTATTACTTCCGTTGGAGATTAGTTGAGCGCAGACGGACGACCAGACTTCCATGCGCAAGCGGGATTCAGGCGTCTCTGGATCCAATGGAGCGGCAAAAACGTTAAAAAGAAGTATAGATAGTGGGTCAGTCCTCTCAAAGGCATATGCGTGGTCCTTGAAGGCAGTGGATTGAGTCTGGCTCCTGCTTAAGAAAGTCTGAGCCCGAGCCCGGGAGGTGGAAGGGAACGCGGGATCATTTGTATCCAAAGCCGTGGCAGGAGAAGTAAAAGCAGCCAATTGGGACGAAGACAGGCTTTGTAACCGGTCAACCAAAAACTGGGGATCAGAGCGGACCAGCCGCAAAATCTCCAAAAAGTCCGTCCGGGACTGAGGGCTCAGTTGATGAAGGAAATCCGGGAAACGGCCAATGTCAGTTCCTAAGGATGGCTCCCCGTCCACGGAGTCTGTCTGGCCATCGTTGGGAGCAGGTGAAGAGCACGATTCCTGGAGATCTTGGAGTGTATGGTAGAGAGCAACGAAACTGGCCTTGTCATCATGGCGGAGAGCTTCAACGAGACCTCGCTGTGCAGTCAGCCCGACACGAACCATACGCGCAGAGACGCCAATGGACACCTTGGTGGCACGCAGGCGCTTCTCCAATCGCTTCCTTTGGGCCTGCTTGCGCTGGTTCTGGTGATAACGAGTGGCAAAATCCTCGAATGAAATTTGAGGCGCATCTTCCACTGGTACGGGTATGATAGAAGGCGTCGCGGGCCCGGGATTGTGTCCATTGGAGGGAGCGGCCTCTACCATGGGACTGGCACGGCCCGAGCCACCCAACTCACCTGGCCCCACGTTCAACGGAGATTCAACGAGTGCGGGCGACATGGCTGGCGATCCCGGTCGTGAAGGAGGCAAAGGCACAGATGCGGGATCTTGCGCCCGATGCGACAAGTCACATGGTGTATTAACCTTGGGGAAAGCAGGTATTTGCTCGGCTGGAGCTGGTTAGATTGGGCTGCAATCATAATAAGGGGGTATAACGATAGGAGCACCCCTCTTTTCAACGTCCCAACCCATATAAGGGAGAAAAGCGCAAAAATAAATATAATGACGTACTGGTTGTAGAATGCAAAGAGGAAGAATGATCCTCTTGGTGTTCTACCATCTTGCCATTAGCGACAGACAGTCGCAAACCCCCCTAGTCGACGAATCCCTATCGCATTCTGAAACGAAAACCAGGTTCTCAGAGTGACGATGCACTCGATCGGATGAGCAGTTGGTTTCCAGGATGAATGTGTGGGAAGAAAAGGCGGGGGAAGAGAGAGGAAAGGGTAAAAAATAAGGAGGGGAGATGGGGGTTTAAAATCAAAGTAAAAATAACTAAACCCGGAGTATAAAACAAATAGGATTATAAGGGATAGCAAAAGGAATCCTCGAAACGGACAGTTGCAGACCAAAGTGCTAAAAGCCAAGTAGAAGAGACTAAGAAATACGGCTAATATGGAAAAGGACCAGGTACCGAGTACAACGAGACGATGCGTTGGCAGTGCAGGAATGAGGTGTCCATGCGCCCCTCATGCGCCCCTCAGATTTTATAGACGTGTACTTTCTCTTACGTGTCTGAGATCCTATTTTACACATATGTACAACATAACTAGTATATATGGATCTTATGGCCTATTAAATACTTTGGTCTGAGAAATATGATATGTGGAGAGTGGCAATATTAGAATATGCTCACATGCAAGGATATCATCCTGGTTCATATACATCGTACTACGACACGCGCACAACCGGCATTTATTTCATGCAGCTAACCCGGGATACCCCGACTCCTAAATAATAAAAAAGCAAATATGTTTGATCATGATTAGGTGAATCGTTCATGATGGCATTACAAATGCTTAGGTACACCCAAACTCCGTTCATAGTACTCGTGTAGGAAATGTAAGAAATCCATCATCTTAGTATCACCGACAGACCCATTTCTTGTCAACTTCTTTTTGTCCGACACGAGCAGCAACCTGGTCAAGGGTGGCTTTGAGTGTATCCTTGGACACCTTGGGGAATCTAGATATATCTGAATTAGCATATGCTCTAAAAGCGGACACCGTGGGAACCAACCGTTTCTTCAAGATCTCGACCAACCCAATCTTACTGAGATCACTGCCTTCAACTGCTTCCTTGAAATCAGCGAGTTGGTCTGGCGGGAATGGCCGTTTCGCTTTCGATGAGGGAGGTACAGCACTGCCCACCGCCACTGCCCTAGGGACTGTAGGAACAAGGAAGCCGTCTATGGCTGTCGCGGGTCGCGCTTTCGCAGGTACTTGGTCCACGGGCTTGGGTTTCTCCCAGTATGCAGTCGAGAAGGGGTCGATGGGGAACTTGACCGCATCGGATATAGTCTCCATCCGATAGACCTCCATTTCAGGCTCAACTCCATTGGCAGCCCACTTGATTCCAGTAGAGTCAGGCTCCAAATCACCAACAATGAGACGCCGTTTGCCCTCGGCAAGGGCATCATCCTCGTCATCTAGGAAACCTTCCAGATCATCTTCGCCATCATCACTGCCTTCATCTTCTTCTTCAGAGTCCAGCTCTTCACCTTCTTCGGGTTCCTCCCATTCCGCTTCGGAATCGTAATCATAATCGGTATCCGGCAGCCCTCGGTGATAGGGATTTCGGGCAAGTCTTCTCGTGGATAACTCGGACACGCGACGGGTATAAGTTCCCTGATAGGGAGGGCGGATGTCCTCGCCAAACTTGAGAGACTTCATCGTGACCTTGCTTAGAAGTTCTTGTGGCCTCGGAGATGGCATTGCGCTCTGGTTTTGAGTAGGCTGAGTTGGATCGTCAGATCTTTGTAGTTGCAGTAGTATGTCCTTGACTGAGGTCGTTGGTTGGCGCCCACGACGGAAGGGAATTATCTGGAAGACTTCTGATGGGCGGAATGGATGTGTTTGGATGGGAGTTTCGTTGCGTAGACATGTATCGATCGTTTCGCGTACGTGGTGGAGGGCTTCTGAGTCGCGCTCAAACCGATGAGGAGGTGCCACAACTGTATGAGACTGTAGAAAGAACGCGGGAAACTCTCGCTCGTAGTCTGACTGCACGGCACGAGTTTCGCAAGAGGAATCGGCTGTGGTGGATGCCTTCTTAGGCGAAGGAGCGGTGATCACCTGTCCTGATGAAGCGGAAGGTACCGGTGGTTTGGCAAAGAAGGAGTTCAGTTTCATTTGTGACTGAATCGGTTAGTATATGGGCATATTCCTGTTAGGACGGTTGTGGCTGCCACTTACTCTGGTCTTCTTCTCCTTCTCCTCGTCCCTTTTACGTTTCTCTTCTTCTCTGGCAGCCTTTTCATCTTCTTTGGCCTTCTTCTTTTCGTCGCGCTGCTTGCGCTCCTCTTCACGTTGGGCGTCTTTCTTGCGCTTTTCTTCTTCTCTGTGACGTTTCTCCTCGTCGCGCTCAGCATCGCGCTTCTTTTTTTCCTCTGCCTTCAGGCGCCTCTCTTCTTCTCTTTTGGATTTTTCTTCCTCTTTCTTGGCCTTCTCTTCGTCCCTCTTCGCCTTCTCCTCAGCCTTCAAGCGCTCTTTGGCTTCCTTTTCTTGTTGCTTGGGATCTGTGCCAGCAGAGACTACCTTGCGTTTCTTAGAGGCCGGGGTATCAGGCTCAGCATTGGAAGCATTATTGGTGCCGGGAGATGTTAATCCCCCAGAAACAGCTTCATTTTGTTTACGTGGTGTCCTTCTCATCACGATTTCGACCGAGGGGGGAGGTGGAAGAGTACGGTTGATTTCAACTGGCGGGGAAGTAGTATCGTTAGGTTGGGAGGGGAGAGATGGATCGTGATTTTCCTGGTTTTCGCAGGCGAACTCAGTCAATGGTCGCTTCGCATTTGGTGAGGGCAGGTTGGCATCATCAACCTCGTGAATTGAGCGTTTTCGTGGACCGGATGAAGGTGATGCGGGAAAGGACTGGGCCGACTGCATCGGCGATAGAGATGCGTTGGGTACCATTGACTCCAGAGTGATTGTTAAGAGCTGGTTAAGAACCTGAAGTCTCAGGTGTGTAGGTGAGTGAGGGAAGGGGCGATGGGGACAGGCTGTCGTGTGATAGATCGCGACTTCACTTCATAGGTGGTTTAGGCGTGTCAACCAAGGGAAAGTGCGACTTTAATAGACAATAACAGACGTTACTCGAATTAGACAATTGCTCTTCAATCACAGAGTATCGACTTCGCTGTTTAATGAACGTACGGAGTAGAGCAGTGACACGTTGGGCCAACACTGGGACGCGTTAATCGTTTCGCGCTCGCGACCGATAAGCACGTGTGTGATTATGTAACCACTATATGTGCCCCCGGGCCGCGGACTGCCCAAGGGACATACCCAGGCCATTTTGTGTGGGGGCTTTAGTATGTTGTACAATTTATGGCATCATTTTGGACTTCCAGGGTCAATATGGAATGAGCGTCATGTTTTATACTTCAATATTCCCAAGTTACTCATGTACTTTTGTTACTGTGATTCTACAATTACCTTGCACTACCCTATGTAACAGCAACAAGGCTACAACAAAAAGCCACCACTCCACGGAAGTTATTCTAAATGCGAGACGAATAGAGATAATCTTTGGGTTGAAATTAGGTACTATTCCTAAATTAAGAGAAGCTAGGCCATATAACCAACGCCAGGATGGCCCCGTATGCAGCCGCAGAAGGACGAAGACAAGCTGGAGAGCCAATCTATAGAGACCAGCAGTGCCATCGAGGATATAAAGCAAGAAGGAAGAAATCCTGGAGAAAAACAAAGATGCGGGCGCTTTGAATAAAAAGGAGTAAATCAGACAGCAAACGTGCAAAGATATAGACAAAGCAAGAGGACGCATTGGTCTAAACCATCAAGATTTGCCGAATGGGGCCAGGTGTGGAGTTGCAACGAGATAGGTATTATGTGCAATTGACGAGGCGTTAAGACAAATCACGTAGAAATCATAAAAGATAGAATAAGGCGGGATATGAGGAAGAAGATGAAGAATGTAAAAGTTGGTAGACGCTGCGTGAGAACAAGGGCAAGGGCCTCAGTCGCTGTCTGAATCGGGATTTGCGACGAAAAGGCGCACATTGGTCATGGTAGTAGTTCGCTCGTCTACGCTGCCTCGTCGTCGCAACTCGGATGCCTTGTTGGCTTTTTCGGCTGCCGCAGTGGCGGCGCTCGGAGCCTGCATGTCACCAACAAAGTCTTCTTGCTCTTGCTCACTGCTGTGTGTTGTCGCGGTATCATCTTTGTGGAGTGATGACAGCCGGCTCTTTTCTTCTTCGTGAATCTCCGCGGGTGTATTTTCAGACACTTCTGGAAGGTCGGTCTTCTCGTTCGGGGGCGTGCTGTTGCTGCCCATCGTTCCCTGTGGCCGCGAGTATCCACTTGGGTAACGGTGGGCACTTCCCAGAGAGCTGCGGCCGCTACCGGTCCGTCTGTGAATCGCGCCACCATCACTGCTGAGAGTGTCATCATCCCCATCACCGATCTCGTTCGCACTCAGTCGCACGGGGACCTTGGCGCCCACTAGGTTGGAGGGCGAAAACTCAGCAGCTCCCTTAGTACCATGTCGGATCTTGCCACTAGCCAAGGTTCCTGACCGGCCAGCACCATGAACTTCAAGGTACGCTCTCTTCTTGTCCCGCAGGGCTTGTTCGCGCAATCTGGCGTCTTCAGGCTGTGCTCGGTCACACCATACGGTAGCCTTTTGCCGCCGCATGAGGGCCACATATCCAAGCTGAGAGTTGGCAGAGCGCGACGAGGCAGTTCGCCGGATGTCAGAAACACCTTGCCCCGCATGTACCGTCGGGTGATTGCCGGTGGACGAGGTCGAGGCAGTGTTGCTTGACATGCGTCGAGAGGGTGACTGATGAGGAAGAGTCATTTGGGGAATAGGAGGTGGAGGAGCGCCGTGGTAGTGCTGAGAGCCGCCTGAGTAGGGTAACACGTTGGAGGATGTGGTTCGAGTCCGACTGTGCGTGGTTTGGGGGCTCGCTAGATGGGGCGCAAGTTGGGGTCGTGGAGAATCGTAGGACTGATATCCACCATATCCGTGCTGGGCACCAGAGAGAGGCTTCCGGGCAGGAGGCCCTTGGTGGAGGGGCATTCGAAATTCAGTCATGTTGGGCGGAATAGTACACCAGCCTTAAAATCCCAACGTCCGGGCCGCAGTTCTAGACTTTTGGTTTTCTCGCGAGTGTACGGAGTTTTATTTCAGGATGTGGGATCTTGATTCGTGATGATGACTTGGAAGGCTGATTTCCGATGCGCGCGGCTGACGGATAGGGAGATAATGCGGCCTCAGCGCCCACTGCAGTATGCAGCCGCCACAATCCCGTTTGGGAGGTCTTAAGCGGAAGGCTGAGGGTGGAGGCCTTTTATATGTAGCGACACGAAGCCGTTGTAGACGTGCAATGGGCTGATCCTCGGGCTGATCCTCGGGGTAGCTTTGAGGCGAGGGTGACAGGGTAGGAGCGCACACACGAAGTCCTGCAACTCAATCGGTAGGCAATCTCGGTGGCTGTAGTGAAAGCGAGAGATTACAAAGAAGCACACAGCAGCCCTGGAGTCTGCCAATAAATGTCGAATATGGAGGAATGGTCGGGATGGGCAGGTCTTAAGGAGAGGCAGGACAGATTGGGGGAAACCTTGAGGACTTTGACCGGCCGTTCCTTGGTAGAGCAAGGTGATTGGACGATACGGAACACGGCGGAGGAAGTACTTTCCCACACAATTTGGCGGGTGGAGTACCTAGCTCAGCCACACCTGAGGCTGGGTAACTTACGGTATACGGTTACATTTCAAGGTTCAAAGTTTAAGATGTTTCGAATTGTTGTCTCTCCCCAGCTCTCATGTCAACCTTGGAAAATGTCATCATTTCTTTCATAGCCTTTCTCTCGTGGATGCTACATTGACATGCCAACACGACAAATTTGCCTCCCGCCGAGCACGTGAATGCTTCAAAGCAACATGGTCACATTCGTGGAATCCTTGATTATTCTTACTGACAACGGCTCTTCTGCGGAAATGTTGGGTATGATGGTACGAATCGTGGACCTCCAGACTCCCCTAGCCGACGTACACCAACCACTTAACAGGGGCTGCAGCCATCAACCGGCTCCACCATCCAGCCGCCCATAACCCCAATGCACCCAAGTACGCTACCAATAATGTCAGTCCACAATGCCCACGTCTTCTCCCATGTGCTGGGGCCTGCAGTCAGGTAGTGGCTGTTCCCGTTACAAGCGGCCCGTTTTCTAGCTTTAGGCGAGAATTCGGAAATCATAACTTGGCAGCTAGCGTCTGAGAGTTCGAGCGACTTCAGTTTGTGGTAATTTGTTGCCAGTCCCGAGGTTGTGCAAGTATTGCATAATGCTGGCGCAGATTGACTGGAACTAGACGACCCAATACGAGGTCTATCTCGTTGGATTCATTAACCGATATGGAGATGCACCTGGCTCGACTCCTCCACAATTCGTCCCTAGTAGTGACGACGGAATCCTGGTCAGCGTTCTAGAACATCTACTTTCTGCGACCAGAGATGGCCCTCTTTGGTTGAGGGAATATCGATGTTCAAGACCCCTTTGACAGGCAAAAAGATCATCTGAGTGGGGACTGCCGCGTGTGCCATATTGCTCAAATGCTTGCCTGGACATTTAATTGCATATAAGCTACATACCTCTGAATATAAAAACAACATCTTCCATTAGAGATGTGCTGGCTTCTATATGCATGTCCCAAGTCCCCCAGGTCCAAGTATGTATCAGCCATATAATAGGGCCGGGACCGTGACAGCGCTGATCATTGAACTTCATTGACCTGTGCACAATGCGGGGTATACCTCCTTGCGAGAGAACGTTGAAAGAGAGCTTCTATTGTGTACAAGGAATTTGCTTTCAAAATAGCCGCGAGTAACATTCCCATCCAGAGCACTCGTCGGCCACTGGTTCTGATTCTCCTAGGGCTGCATTGATGCATAATTGGCCTAACCCTTGGAAGAAAGGGCATAAGGTCATGCTCCAACCCCCTTCGGCTAAAACGGCGAAAATCCCTTGAAAGCGCTACGTCAACACATATTCCAGTAAAACAGCTAATGCTATAGTTCAATACGATAAAATTTCAATTGCGCGACATAACGGAAACAGCTGCGCCACACAAGTGGGCTGTATTAGCTCATTGGTGGAGCTCGGAAGCTGCAATGGGAAAAAAATATAGTCGTGACGTCAAGATGTTTCAGCGTATCCAGGTTTGTACAAAGACACAAAGGAAAAGTGCCTGTGCCTGATGCTACATTGACATTTAGGACGAGGCACAAGCCGAAGACGGAAACCATTGTGATAGTGGGGAAAAATAAACAAGTTGCGACATAGGGCACTAGTACGAACTACTGTATAGACAAAAAAGTCTACATCTGCATGTCACAGTTTGTAGTCCGAGACTAGCATTATTAGCGCATATGTCTAGCACATATCTTTGCTTTCCAGGGTTTTTATTTGCAGATACAACATAGGGCTCCATAATATCACACGGCGAAGTCCTATCATCCTTATATGTGTCTCAACGCCACTATCCCCAAGCATGAGGCCCCCGCCGCTCCACCCACACTAGTCTACTTTAGTCTGGAGTATAGAATTGTACAATTATGTTGCCTATTTAGGTGTGTGGGTAGGCGTGCTCGCTAAAACATGCACAGCTATGTTGTACTAATAGGAATATATGAGGGAAGGTGACCAGTAATAGATAATTGAATTGGCATATATCATTAACATAACTCCCAGGTCAATTCTATCGCAAAGATAATGTATGCCCGTGGAGACAGAAACCAGATCCAGAGCGATGTGCGAAAAACAAGGGTGTAAGGTTATAGAGAGGATCACACAAATCGCCATCAAGGTTGAAGATTTCTTCATTGCCTTACTGTGTTGGCTGGATTTCTTCTGTTGGGGAGGTGTTCCCATCATCTGTGGCCTTGCCCCAAGCCTCTTCAAAGGCCGACTCCGCCAAAGACTCAGGCTCAGGCTCAGGCTCATTGAAGGTTAGTTCCTCGGGCACGGCACTGCGTGATTGTGGCTCAATGATCTCCTCCTCCTCCTTTAAATCAGCCTCAATTTCCTTGTCAACTATCACCTGGGAGAAAGAAGATGAAGGAGTTTCAGTATCGACCAGATCCGTCTCCCTAGTCGGTGCCGCTTTGTTCTTGGCACCAAGAAGCTCGAGGTCAAAGTTCGAACTATAGACCACGGCAGAGAAGGCTTCGAGCTCACGCACGTTCTGGTCCATGGCGACCAGATACTCATTTGGTGGGTGGGCACCATTGCCAATCACGTGTGCCTGGCGAGTCATGACAGCCAGGAGATTAGCAAGCTTTGTCTTGCGCTCGGAGTTGGCCAGGGGCACAACAGTGGCAATTGAATCGAAGGACTGCAGGGCAGTCTCCGGTGCGGAGGTGGGTGTCTTGAAGGCGTCAGCGGCACATCTTTGATCGATAAGCGTTGAGAAGCCCTCGTTGTTGAGAAGTGTGAGGACAAGCGAGAAAGATGGTGAGTCGATCAAATCCGCTGTCTCATCTAGGAGGTGTCGCAGCTTCGACGCTGTTTGGGAAGAGGACGGGTCGGCTACGCCTTCCACGCCCGACTCGCGCAAGACATGTTCCTCTTCCTCTGCAGGGGGAAGCAAGCAAGAAAGCCACTTTCGAGACCGTCGCTCGTCCTCAGTGCTGCCTTCCACCTTCTTTCGGATTTGCAAGGTCAATTCAGAGAGCTTAGCCAAACTGATATCCTCACGTGGATTCAAAGGTCCAAATACTTCCTCTACGGCTGTTTGTACTCTGCCCATCAGGTCTTTCCACCCGCGGTGAAGCAGCCACCAACTGAAGGCGAGGTAACGTCGGTTGGTCTCGAAGTCATCGCCCAATGTTTGAGTGAGTTCATCGTCGTGGTCTTCAAGACTGATTGTAGAGGCGTTGGCAGGTGGTGTAGCAAGGGAGATCACGCTGGACAGGTAGTTCCGACGGCCGAGCAGGTTGAGTTGGATGTGAGTGAAGACGGTGAGCAGGGAGAGAGTGTAGACCATAGTAAAGGACCGAGTGACAGCTATATAACGTTAGTTTCTGACAGACGAGTTTTTGTGATGAAAACTGCCGAAATAAAGACTCACAGGTAATCTTCACCTCATTCCACAGCTGTGTCTTGTTCCGTTTGGGCCGAGGTTGTCCGTCCGAGTTCAGAGAAGAGTCCCCAGCCTGGCTTGCGTGCACATATCCTTCACTCTGGAAACTGGAGAGACTCCTCCGATCATCGTCCGGCAGGCTCGGGGGTACCGAGCTCAAATCTGACCCAGTTGCCTCCCCTGCATTTAGTCGAGCCAACCTCTCCGCTCGCTTCTGCTGCAGCTCCTTAGTCAACTCCTCAACTGGGAGAGCATCGATAATATTCTCGGCGGCAGTCGGCAACAAGGCGAGGACAGTATATGTGCAATCGGTCTGGTTTTGTTCGAATCGTCGGCGCAGACTATTGCCATGGGTCAGTGATTCCGGTTCGGGGTATTCTGGTCGAGGTTGCAAGCGCTACAAGCTCGTGTGCTTGCTAGCGGAGGGATAGGGGTCATCAAGAACAAGGGAAACTGACTTTTCGCGAGCAATCCGATCGCTGCTCATGCGCTCCCGTGCCTCGGAGATCTTGGACAATACATATTGTCCGGCCAAGTAGCCGGCTCCTATCACCCCAGCCCCGATTGCGAGACCTTTGCGATTGCGCTGGAACCAGCGCCTCGTCGCACCAATCATATTTGTGTTTGGTGCTTCTCTGGGAAGAACTTAAGATGGTAGGCAATTTCAAATCATGATAGATCCAGGAGATGGATGGTTCAGAAGATGGGGAAGAAAGGCTTCGGGCGCAGATCGCCAGTTTCAGGCCTCGGCTAGAGCTCACCGTCATGCAATGTGAGTGAACCGAACCTATAAAGCACCCCCAGAGGATTTTAGTACCTACAACATCCTACATGCTCTAAATATGTAGACATTTGACTATCTCCTCATTCCTCTAAATCATCAAACAATTATCGCTCTTATTGTGTCCCACTAGAGAACTCTCCCCCGGATTTGGCGTGGCCATCCCGCAACATCCCGCTAATTCTCGTATGTCTCTTTTCTTGTTCTCCTCTCATTGCTCTTTATACTGTCCACATACCCCATATGCATCGTACTTCTGCAACATAAATGTTCTCTTTCAAACTGGTTTCCCCCAGTTCGATGATAAGCGATAAGCTTCAGTCGGCTACGTCCGATACAGGCCCGCCCCCCTTGCCATATCAGCATTGGGGTCATCACTCCACCTTACATCCCTTCAGCTCTATGCAACAACAACAACTTGCTTACTGACTGTCCCTCCCTTCTGCATTTCGATAATACTTCCTCTTCTACCAACAAGAACCTTCTGAGACTGCACCCAACCCCAACCGGCTTGGTTGCGAGCTGCGTCATGGCGGGGATGGAGCCCCGCAAAACCCCTCCGGAGTACTTCCTGGAGATCTTCGCCGACACCACCCATGTGCGAGATGTACTGAAGGGTTAGTCGTGAGCTGGAGACATTCAAAGCATGTTCTTGGTACTAAAAGCTTCCTGCCAGGTGTCCTGAACCTCATCTTCTTCCACCGTTACTTCCCTTCTATCCGGCCGGTCACCTTTGACGTGCTCGATTTCACACTCCCCGCTATAAACGATGCAGAGCTAGAGACGCTGATTGAATCGCGCGTATCGGCTCTGGTCCGGCAGCACCTTTCCTCCGCAGCCGGCGGGCAGGATGGCCAAATTGTCGGTGGTAGCGGGGGTGTGCGAGGGCGGATCGCAGTCGAGTTCTACGAGAAGAAACGGCGTCGGTCTGGGAACTGGTTTGGCGGACTGACAGGGAAAGGCGAGGAAGAGGTGTGTTGGGAGATTTGGACACTTGATGTAACGATCGCGACACCGCGCACAGAGTCCGGTATGTACAGTCTGCGGGTCCCTTTATCCAGAGCTAATTTGGTTACAGAACGAGCCAAGGTGCGCAAGGCAATGGGTAATATGCTGCAAAAGGCAGCTTTGAAAATCTTGAGCGTTGTCAATCGAGATAAAGACCATATCCCGCCCATCACCACTAGTGATTCCAACCCGTTCCCCTATCGGATTGTCGTCAACCCTCGCGCCGATGGCTGGGGAAATCGCATGGGGCTCTACTGAGCTATGCGGTTTGATTAAGAGCTTGGACGATACACCTCAAAATCGTCAAGTCTGATACGTTTACACTCCGATTATTGTTCAACCAACCGGATACGTTGCCTTTATTTCCTTCAGTGGAACATGGCCGCGGGCGATCAACCCCGATACGATTTACGAAGTCTGTCAGATATTATAAAAGGGCTATTACTATGAGCCTATGAAACTCTCATGTGCTGTGCTTGGACTTTCAAGCGATGGCCTTACGGAGTTCAGTGCTTAGGTGTTTATTTTTTTGGGATTCTTGAGAGGGCTGGGCTGGTTCTTTTTATAATGCGGCGTAAGTACATATGGATCTTTTTTTATACTCAATTACGAAAACCAATACGAATATCCTGTCCTGGGCCTTTTATTGAGCCCTACCGAGGCAGCATAGACCAGAAAGGTGTGTGATCTCGGTGTACAGCGTCTCTTCAACCAGACCATCGCGGTATTTGTTATGAAGTACTTCCTAAAACACATTCTACGGGAGCTATATCCTGCATAAAAGCCTGCACGTTTTAAGCAAAACGGTATGTCTGGGCCAATAATATTCTATCTGATCCCCCAACACCCAATATTTAGCCGCAAATACAACTGCCCCTCCATGCAGTGTGCCAACACCCAATGCAAACCCAAAGAAGCATCACATTGCTCCAAGCAGAAGCCGACAATGACGACGAAAGTTATTTCCGACTTCTGATCAACGGGTCAGTCAGGTATATCACTATTGCCCAAGGCATCTGGAGCACGGATGATATGTGCTTCGGCCCATCTCTAGCCTAAATTCTCCCTGATCTTCCTGCAGGAAATTGGAACGATGGGTTAGTGACCAAACACCCAGAAACAGGCGAGCCATACTTCGCGCGCGCCACTCGAACCTCGTTTCCTGGTGTTGAGAACACATGGCATAATACCTTTGTTGATTATATGGATCTCGGAGAGAGCAGGAGACTTCGAACAGGCGTTTACGAAGCCAAATGTCCCCAATTTGAGGAACTCGTCGTCGTCAAGTTTGCTCGCTTTGATTGGGAAATTGGATACATGGAGGGCGAGACTGCTGCCTACCAGTTGATTGAGGGTTGTGACATTGGTCCCAGGTTCCTGGCACATCTTACTGAAGATGGTCGGGTTATTGGTTTCTTGATGGAGCGTATTGCCAATGCACGGCATGCTGGGCCTCAGGATCTTAATATTTGCCAGCAGACTCTCACTCGGTTACATGCTTTGGGGATTAAGCATGGTGATATCAATCGTTTCAACTTCTTAATTCGTGACTCGAAAGCTATTTTGATTGATTTTGATACGGCCCGCAAGCGCGATGATTCTAAGTTGCTTGCTGAAGAGCTCCACAACTTGAAAGAAGCGCTGGAATCTTCATCGGGCAAGGGTGGTGGTGGGTATTTATGTTAGCTGTCATTGTCCGTATACAATGTACGATTGGGTTGGCTTCTAGACTGTCTATTCGCCAACCAGGGAATCTCGGGAAGGACTTTCCAGAAAGCAGACATTGATATTAGTTAGTTGTGTATTTGCCGTCTTTTCTTTTTGCCCATGTCAAGTAAAAACACTTCTCCAAGAATAGAAGCTAAGGTGATTGTGATTGATAACCGCAATGAGTGGATTGAGACCGCTGCTTTGGTGGCTGGGCATATGAAGGCTGCTAAGACTGTTGTTGGCTTGTGTGACGCTGAGGAGCGCATCTTGATCGGGTCCTTGCAGCAGTTCCTTCAAAAGGGTGGGACTTTGGTTGATATTGGTTTGCCTGCGCCCAGCTTCTTGAGGTCAACCTGTTTGCGCTGAGCTTTAACCTTGGAGCAGACTGTTGATGGGCGGTTGATTTGTGCTCCTGAGTAGTGGTAGAAGATTCTGGGTCTACATGCAAAGAATGGTTGCAAGACGCATATTGAGAGAACTACACCTATTGGATGGATTGATGAGATGTGTGAGCATTATCGGAGGAAGTAGTTGCGGGGACGGTTGTGCGTGGTGTGTTGAGGTCATGGGATCATAGAGTGCCCAGGTGGTGCTAATGATGAGATGTGTGGGTTATGAAATAGCATGCGGTGCTGTGTGAACATGTAGCTTTGCCCAAGCATCCTTACTCTTGCGACTTCTGTAGGAATGCATGCAGCTTGACGGCGCATAGCATAACACCCCGAAGAAGATACACGTAGATGACGTAGATCTCGAACATCTGAAAACAACATCCACATTCACAATATACGAACTAAACAACTAGTCCACTCGAGTGTGACACAATGGCAAGAACCAAGATAAAACATTCTCATATTCAGCGAATATCCAACCCCGGACCCGACACAACATTTCTCGGGTCCTCTCTATTTCATGTTCCAGCTATTGCACTGCTCCTATTTAATCATAGCAACGAAGCTTTGAGCCAACCACTTCACTTCGTGCTTAGTGCCCAACCGGGCACAGAGAATCGGATCCGCGACCCGCGCCCAAGCAGGTTCCACGGAGCTTTTATTGTCGATGCGATTCTCGTTTAAGAGGTGATACTACACCCCTTTAGGTGGAGTGGGGCTTGCTCGCAGCCTCGGCCTGGGCACGGAGGTTGGAGGAGGTGCCGTTGGTGGAGAAGAAACGGCCAACCACGGGCTGGAGGAAGGAGTGGAAGACAACTTGGGCACCGCTGCGAAAGAGGTCAGCTACTGGTCTTAACTTGGTCATAGGATAGTAACATACCTGGTCTGGGGAAGAGCCATCCACATGATCAGGACGAACTTGAAGATGTAGTAGAAGGCTGCGATCAGTTAGCAAAATAGTACGAAGATGGACGTCTGGTGGATACATACGGAACCAGTAAGCGGCGCTGATGGCGCTCTCAATAACAGTCAGGAAAGCGAAGACAACCCAGTACTATCAAGTCATATGTTAGAATTACTGATCGCGTGCGAGCGGGAATGATGTCACGTGGATGGTGTATGATAACCCCGAATCGGCGGTGATTTCATACTTCCGCACGATTGCGACAACAAGGTGATAAAATCATGTGAACATACCGTGAGCCACTGTGAGAATGAAGAAAGACAAGTTAGAAATTTGCGCATGGAAAGGAAAAAGTTTACAAAAAAAGTCTTACCTGGGTGTCATCCTGAGTGTTTGAGGTGAAAAGCGCCTGAAGGGAGTAGTAACCGGGGACGAGGAAACCGGCAAAGTTGACGAGGAACTCTCCAGCAATGTTAAAGAAGACAAGGAAGAAGTAAATTCCGACAAGGCCGAGGATGGCGTAGACCTTGGGGACATTGGTCTGACGCTCAAGGTTGGCAAGGACAGGGTACTTGGACAGCTACAAAAATCACAGATGTCAGCTCAAAATCACAGCGATGGATAACATAGTGAAGTGGGTATCAAAGGCTGCGATTGCAGTCGCTCCTGCTGTGGTCACTGGCGCTTAGGAGCATTGCAGCCACCTGGCGAGGGCTAGACCTGAGGCGCCAGCGAAACACACAACAATAGCTGGAAACGTACCTCCTTGTCAAGCTGAGCAATAGAGTGCTGGGCACGCTCCTGGAAAGAGGCCATTTTTGCTTATAAAGGGTATCGTTTGTGGGAAAACAAGTCAAAGTGCTAATAGGATGACAATGGAGCGAGGGATGGTGAGAATGCAACCGGTCAAGCTGGCGGCAAGAAGACAGAGGCTAGCCTGTGTGTATCACGTGATGTGCATGACGTATCCGTCCACTGCGGGTGCCATGTGAAGCTGCACAAAGTAAATTGTAATTGGTTTGAATATATGAGGGTATTACTACCTAGGTAGTGACTTTGCATCTGAAGATCTAGCCCTGGAGGTCATGCAGATATGGTCACTTATATCTCTAAAAAATACTGTCTGCTAGATTGTCTAACTGAGGGGCTAAGGCAAACATATTGGCCTTTAGAATGTAGCGAGGTTTAAGCTTCAGAAGTATTACCCCCTTAATGTATTAATGTACGGAGTACCTTGAAACAGATTTCAAATAGAATATTTGCAGTTGAATGTATCAGATCAACAGTCCGCTATCCTCTCCACAAATCCCCCGAGATAGTCATACATCCCACACATGACGTACGCGGCTTTTGCACAAAATCATCAAGACCTGTTTGCTCTATGCCAGATAAATACATATGTACCTAGCCTGTTTGCGTGTTTGTGTTTCGAATATTTTTTTTCCTTTCATCCTGAAACCGGGGAGAGTTCCTTTGTGGGACCCTGCAGCAGTTGGTCCGTTCGGGTCTATGTGATGCATCCTTCTGCTTCTCCCGAGGTCCCGCCTATAAACATTGACCAATGATGGAACATGTCACCAATTCCACTCTCTTTCTCTCATACACGAAGTATCAACCTAAAAAAAAAAAAAGACAGATGCTAAGTATCTCAAACACAAATGACCTCGGGATTGCGTTTCAACTCTTTGATACATCCACATGCTAGTCACGTGACCCATATTCACAGGGATGGCGATTGAAAACGGTAGAGAAAAGATTAAAAATGACCAAAAGGTCCAAAAAAAAGAAAGGATCAAACATTGCCGAGACGACAAAATACACTTACAGTTAGTGCCTGACCGCTAGAGACGATCTCGGCATATGATGTGATTGGGTCCAAGGGCTAAAAAGACAAGAGAGCCTGGCAATTAGGCTAACTCCCGTTATCAGACCTTCTCCCCTCCTTTAAAAAAAAAATTCATGCAGAAACGTCTAAATATCTTCGCATTACTTTATATAAGTGTTGATACACTCCTTAGTGGACCCTCCAATCCCTTGAACTCGAATCTCCATATCCCGTGTACGAAAAGGCGGGCCATGTAACCGCACCCGCGTACCGCCCTTTCTCTTCCATCCCCAAGGAAGCTACACAATACAATTGGAGCATTCAACGTGGTTTATGAGCCAATTCATCACAGTTAACAGTTCTACGATTTGAGATCGTCATCTATACCACGTGGGATCCACCCTAAGCCCGACCTTCGGTCCTCGAGAGCTATTTCGATTTCCATTCCGATTCACTATTCACTACATAAATAATATCGATACACACTTTTCTCAATGCGGCCACAGTGAGTCAATGAATACTCCCTGAATGCTCCCTGATCCAATTCTAATTGTTTGTTTGCGCCCTGTCTAGACGCGAATACCATATTGTTGTCTTGGGTGCTGGTAGGAGCCTCTCCTCCTGAGATATTCCCATAGGTCACAGGCTGACCACAGGCATTCCCATGCGCCCCGATAACAGGAGGTGTCGGTAAAAGTTGCTTAACAGGTTTGTTCCCTGTGTTTTACACCCTACCCTGAGTCCTCAAGCTGATCAGCAATCGCCTTCCAGCCCAATTCGTTCAAAATGTCTGGATCGAAAGCTACGACCCCACGATCGAGGATTCATACCGGAAACAGATTGAGGTAGACGTAAGTGGTCTACCATGCACTGGAAATTACTCCCTCGTTAACCAAGCTTAACAGGGTCGACAATGTATACTGGAGATGTGAGTAACTCGGTGGTTTGGATATGGCATGATGCTAAATTTTCGAAGTCTTGACACAGCAGGAACAGAACAGTTCAGTAAGTCACCCCCAAACCAGCACATTTAGCCATGTCGGATCGAAGCTAACAACCCACAAGCGGCAATGAGGTAAATCTAGCCATCCATCCATCCATCCACCACCACCACCACCACCACCACGATCGACTCCGCAGACCGAACCCAAGAAAAGCACACCGTACTAACAACACTCTCCACAGAGAGCTCTACATGAAACAAGGCCAAGGCTTCCTCCTCGTCTTCTCCATCACCAGCATGTCCTCCCTAAACGAACTCTCCGAGCTCCGCGAACAAATCATCCGAATCAAAGACGACGAGAACGTCCCAATTGTGATCGTGGGCAACAAATCCGACCTGGAAGAAGACCGCGCCGTACCACGCGCCCGCGCCTTCGGTATATCCCAGAAATGGGGTAACGCCCCATACTACGAGACCTCTGCCCGGCGCCGCGCAAACGTTAACGAAGTCTTCGTCGATCTGTGCCGCCAGATCATCCGCAAAGACTCCGAGGGCTCAAGGAACAGCAGCGATCCCAACCGCAAGCGCGAGGGCCCGAACCGCCATGACCGCAAGAGAGACAATCGCCGGCCGAGAAATCGCCGCGGACCGTGCGTCATCCTTTGATTCAACAATTCGAGGGAGCCCCTTTCTTTGACTGGGGCACCTTTGTCTTGTTTCATTTTCATGCGATACGACCCTCTGCGACCTATGCCCCGCCCGACGCTGCTATGCACTATGCATCTTGACATGTCATGTATGACTGATGTTCTTTCTATACGTTGCCGATATGTCTGTGCTTCTCCTCCCTATAGAACCATGCTTCGCTACTACAGATTTGTATCTTTTCTTTTCTTTTGGGCTGTACACAATTGGTGTCAGTCCTCTCCTCTTTTTTTATATTTGACATATTTGAGGTTTGGTTGATCTGGACTAAGAAAATATTACTTTCACGTGATGGACAAAAAAAGTGTTTTCTGTTGTTTTGGTCCTGTTGCTATTATCGTTCGGTTGATAGGCTCACGCTAGATCCTTTGAATGTTAGGCATGTGGTTGAACCCTTCGTCATCAACACAGAAAGGCGTGAAATTGTAGTACCGGATATCCTCTCCTTTGATGAGCTCCTTGGACCATGCCGTAAAGTTCTAAAGGTCCACTAGACCAAAGAACGATACCCTGGAGAGGCCTGTAGGCTACACAATTTGATACAAGGTGACTATTCACCGCATATTTTCATTTGACTGTTCCAAAATGTCACATAAAATCAATGGCACATGAGCATACGTCTTCCATTCTATGTTTTCTCGGATTTATCCTGAATGAAATTTTGCAGACCTCAACCCAACCCGTCGGCGCTCTACATCCGGAAAACGCCAAATCTTGTTTGCACATCGGGCTCAGCCTTGCCACTGAGCGCAGCTGCCAGACCCAACCCCAGCATTTTCCTCGTCTGAGACGGCGGGATGATACCATCATCCCACAAACGAGCCGACGAAAAGGTCGCTTCCGATTCACGGTCAATGCGTTCCTTCAAAGCCGGATCAGCGGATCGTCCGACAGCTTCCATAACGGCAGACAGTTGCTCAGAGCCCATGACGCCGATCTTAGCATTGGGCCACATGAAGAGAAGACGAGGTGAGTAGGCACGACCACTAAAGCAATATCAATTAGGAAAGAACTAGAGACAGCCTAAGGAGAAACTTACCACATCCCGTAATTGCCAGCACCAGCACTGGACCCAAACACAACAGTGAACTTGGGGACATCGGCGCATGCAACAGCAGTGACAAGCTTGGCACCGTTCTTCGCAATTCCGCCCTTCTCAGCATCAGCACCGACCATGAAGCCGGAGATATTCTGCAAGAAGACAAGAGGGATTCGCCGTTGAGCACAGAGCTCAATGAAGTGCGCTCCCTTGAGCGAGGACTCGGAGAACAAGATTCCATTGTTAGCAACGATACCGACACGATGGCCGTGGATACGGGCAAAGCCCGTTACCAGGGTTGAGCCATAGTCACGCTTAAACTCGGCGAATTCACTCCCATCGACAATCCGCGCAATGACCTCATGAACGGGGATCTGGCGGCGGAGATTCGTGCCAACGATGCCGTTTAACTCATTGGGGTCGTACAACGGTTCTTTCACGACAAGCGAATCCCCATTACCATTCTCCAGCTGGAGCGGAGTTGTCGTGGTAGGGTAGTTGAGGTTCGCGACGGAGCGACGAGCAAGGACAATAGCGTGGGCATCGTCGACAGCCAGGTAGTCTGTAACACCGGAAATGCTCGAATGGAGCTGACCGCCACCCAAGTCCTCGGCGGAAACCTCCTCTCCCGTCGCGGCCTTGACGAGAGGCGGGCCTGCCAGGAAGATAGTACCCTGGTTCTCGACAATGATGGTCTCGTCGCTCATAGCAGGCACATATGCACCACCCGCTGTGCAGGGACCCATGACAACAGAGAGTTGTGGGATACCGAGGGAGCTCATGCGGGCCTGGTTGAAGAAGATCCGGCCGAAGTGATCGCGGTCTGGGAACACATCTGCCTGGTGAGGCAGGTTTGCACCACCGGAATCCACGAGGTAAATACAGGGAAGGCGGTTCTCTTGCGCAATCGCCTGTGCGCGGAGGTGCTTCTTCACTGTGATGGGGTAGTAGGTGCCGCCCTTGACGGTGCTATCATTGGCAACGATCATGCAGTTGACACCCTCGACCATCCCAATTCCGGTGATAATCCCGCCCGCTGGAACATCCTCGCCTTCGTAGACACCGTGTCCTGCAAGTGCTGATAGCTCCAGGAAGGAGGTGCCTGGGTCGACTAGGGCGGAGATCCGGTCTCTTGGGAGCATTTTGCCGCGGGCGATGTGCTTCTCGCGCGCTTTGTCGTTTCCTCCGCGTGCAATTGTTGTGTGTAGGCTGTTCATCCGGTCTAGAAGTTCTTGCATTTGTTCGCTGTTTTCGCGGTACTCCTGTGAGGAGGTATCCACTGCTGTGGGGAGGACAGAGAGGGCAGAGGCATGGTGAGGATGCGTATAACTTGCTACTGATCTATAAGCTGGGCGTGTAATGTTTGGTGCCTGGCGAAATGAGTTGAGACATTTGCGTGGTCCGAGTCGTGAGCCCCAGCTCCGAAGGACGAGCGGGGACGGGGCACGCATTGCGGGGAAGAGGGCGGAGTGTAGCTAGTTCTGAGAAGAGGAAGGCAGAGCTCAGCTCAAGTCAGAACGGAAAGGGATTTATAGGTATATTATGAGCTTTCCGAAGTATTTAAACTTGAACGAACAGTGGCAGAAGAGAAGCGAGACACAAAGCTGGGGTTTCCCCAAATGCGGAGATGCGACGATTGCCGCATATACCCGAGGCGCCACCATCATCCCCATGAGAATACTACACAAGACCAAGAGATGTTGAACATAGGTGAGGCAGAGGGAGCATAGAATAAACAAATCAATTAGCTTGTAGATGGATCATAGTATCGGTCAGAAATCCAAAAACGTTCAGGCTTGCATGTTCCATGGTGGGAAACTTATAGTATCACAAGTCCCTGATTGCGCGCCGAGGACTACCGCCCCCCTTGCACACATATTTAAAAGGTCCACTTCCCCAAAGAGAATTCCTCCGGGTTTTGCATTCTACATCGATTCTCTCATATAACCATGGCCTCCTTAACCCTCCCTTCTCTCCTTCGCACATCAACGCGCGCGGTGCGGCTAAACCGCATCCCCGCACTCACCCCATGTTTCCGCTCCATCTCAACGAAACACCCCACGGGCTTCGCACCTCCGTCTGAGGATGATCTCCTAGAGCTGCGAGAGCGTGTGCAAGATTTTACAAGTACGTTGCCCATGCTTTTGCCCAAACCGCATTTCTAACCTTACTGTAGGGCGAGAGATCCCAGCCGATGTTGCCGCACGGACAGATGAACAGAATGAATTCCCAGCGGAAATGTGGAAGAAGATGGGTGATGCTGGGTATGAGCTCTCTCGAGTGGTTAACTCCCTTCTTCAAGAAGGGAGTATGATATACAGCGCATACTAACAGAGATGAAGGTTCCTCGGTGTCACAGCCAACGAGGAGTACGGTGGCTTGGGAATGGGCTACCAGGCACATTGCGTAGTGATGGAAGAGATCAGCCGAGCATCCGGTAGGTCTTCCAGTATACGGCCGTTTGGAAAATCGATCTGACCCGATTCTGGACAAAAAGGAAGCATCGGTCTGTCTTATGCTGCCCACTCCCAGCTCTGCGTGAACCAGCTCTCCCTCAATGGCTCGACAGAACAAAAAGAGCGCATTCTTCCCGGTCTCCTATCAGGCGAGAAGGTCGGTGCTCTTGCAATGTCGGAGCATTCAGCTGGCTCCGATGTAGTCAGCATGAAGACCACGGCGAAGGAAGTTGATGGAGGCTGGCTCTTGAACGGAACCAAGATGTGGATTACCAACGTAAGTCGCTTTGGGGGTATAGATGGGATTTGAAATTCTGACCTCATTGCTCACACTTTTACAGGGCCCCGATGCCGATTACATTGTCGTGTATGCCAAAACAGAGCCCGAGCTAGGCTCCAAAGGTATCACAGCGTTCCTGGTTGAGAAGACCTTCAAGGGCTTCTCGTGCGCACGTAAGCTAGATAAGCTGGGTATGCGTGGCTCTAACACAGGCGAGCTCATCTTTGAGGATGTTTTCGTTCCCCAAGAGAACGTCCTGGGTGAGCTGAACCGCGGTGTCCGCGTCTTGATGGAAGGTCTGGACTTGGAGCGACTCGTCCTGAGCGCAGGACCACTCGGGTGAGCCATCCCATACCCCAGCACACCTCTCACATTCTAACACTCCCCAGAATCATGCAAGCTGCACTTGACCTCGTCCTTCCTTACACACACGTGCGCAAGCAATTCGGCATGCCGATTGCCCACAACCAGCTGGTCCAGGGCAAGCTTGCGGACATGTATACTAAGCTGGCTGCCTCGCGTGCGTACACCTACGCCACGGCACGGCAGGTAGACAACGCCGCCGTGCAACCTGGCGAGATGGCCGTCCGCACTCAGGACTGCGCGGGTGCAATTCTCTACGCTGCTGAACGCGCGACTGAATGCACGCTTGATGCCATCCAGCTCATGGGAGGCAGCGGGTACATTAACGAGATCCCTGCTGGGCGTCTTCTCCGGGATGCGAAGCTGTATGAGATTGGTGCTGGTACAAGCGAGATCCGCAGGATGGTCATTGGCCGTGCATTCAACAAGGAGTATGCCTAAGCAAGAGACTTCTACACAAAATTACTTCATCTGGGACGATGCCATCTCTTTGGAGAGTATATGCAAATTCATTTTAGTCGTTGTACATGTCATAAATGGCTTTATATCCAAAATTACCAACACAACCGTCCTAGTTCTTCTGCCTAGCAGACCTACGCACCGGCGGTGCCGCACCACGCTTTGTAGCTGCACCACTATGCTTTATAGCTCCACCACCACGCTTTGTAGCTCCACCACCACGCTTTGTAGCCCCGTCATCACCTTTCCGTAACGCAACCCTCTTCGGACGAGGCGACGCCGCGTCCTCGTCAATGTCATCCTTCTGTGCAACGGCCTTCCGCTTCCACCCTCTCTTCAACGGAATCACGACCTTCGGCGGCGAAGACAGTTTCATCGAGCGGAAAGAGTCCGGATCCGGGTCGGGAGTTGTATTCGAAGCATCCCCAGCATCCCCAGCATCAACATCCGAAATATCCGACGAGATAACATCAGACATCTCATCCTCGCTATCGGGCTCGTCGTCGGAACCGTCACCAGCGAACATTTCATCGTCAGCCAGTGCCGGGTCGATAGGTTTGTGCTCAACCACGTGTCGCTTTTTCAGGCGCGACCTATCCAGCGCCGGCTGGGCAGATTTGAAGACCTCCCGCCAGTTCTCTAGAAGGGCGACTTTCTCGCCCGTGTCCGGCTCATACAGGATGGCGACGTCCTGGTCCCGGTCCAGCGCGGGTGTTTTCCACACCACCCCCTGGAAAGAGGCGATATCTGGCACCAGGGGGGATTTCGTCGGCGGGATTCTGGCGATGTGGCCTTTTGGACGGGAAGATGTCTTTGTTCGTCGTGGTGCTGTCGCTGCGATGGCGGTTCTTTTCTTTCTCTCTGCGCTTTGCTCGACGGTTGCGTCATCGTCGTGGTAATCGTCTGAATAATAGTCCCAGTCGCTGAAGTATTCTTCGACGTCAATCGATGGGTCTTCATATAGAGCGGCTTCGTAGTATGAGGAAGCGGCGAGATCGTCCTGGACAAGCAAAGTTTTGGTTAGGGTCTGAATTGATGCTGTTTTCCTCGTGCAGAGCTCATGGCACGAGTTGGTCTAGGCATTTGAGTATTGAACTTACGACCATGTCTGGGACTAAATCCTCGTACATGTATTCATCCTCGAATTCATAGTACTCATCGTCGTCGGACATCTTGGAGTGGATACCGAGAAAAAAAAGTTGAAAATATATCGGGTGGCGAGGTTTTCGAGGAGGTGTTTGCTAAATGAATGACAAGACTTGAACGAAAGTAAATCAAGTAAATATATGTACAGTTCAAGCAAAACAAGGATGCACGGCTGACGTGACGGAGTGAAGATCGGACTGATCATGTATTGAAGAAGATGGCAATCCTGCTAACATAAGCCTTGGCGTTTCTCCAGATCTACATCGCATTTACCCTTTGGGCTCATCTTTGCTGTGCTCTATCTTCGAAAGTCTTGACTACGGAGAAGAGGATGAGGGAGACAGAAAATAGTTTGCTATTTAATGCGCATCGGGGTATACTTAGGGTATGGATATAGACTCTGCCATCTATCTTGTAGATAGCAAAGCAATTTGATGCCTGAGAAACAAGGCATCAATGCAGCTTTTCATGAGCTCGATAGAGACATGGATTTTACTTATGCTTCTCTTTACATCCGTATGTTTTCTGTTTCATTCTATACTTGGGTTTTCTTTCTGTTTTCTCTGCATGAAATGGCTGTCAGGTCTCGTGGTCTGCATACACTTTTGACTTCGCCTTCCGTTCTGTATACAACAGCGGCCAACAATTATCTCAAAAATGCAAGTAATATTTAGATTTCGGACATCAAATAACTTCGTCTATTTTCTACTTATGGTATCACAAGTTCTCAGGTGATATTCTTTAAATGCACTAGTACTTTCAATGAATTCGAACTACTATGCCTTTTACGGTATACACTTCCTTCATCGAGGACCGGACATCTAAACTGTACAGCCCATTCATCCCATAGAACATACGTCGATTACTTGAATGGATGTCGGACCTAGGGGGGTTTGCATCATACTAAGTTATATATATCAGTCCTCTCCCTCTCCCCTCTCCTTTTTTTCTTTCCTTCTACAACCATCCCACACGATGTACCTCGGAGGGCCCCCCCTTATTCGTCCCCATTGGGACTCTCACCTGTTGAAGAGGATTGAATTTAATAAACCAACCAAAGTTTTCTGGAAGAAACTACCTGTATGTTTTGAATTTTGATGTTGTAAACCTCATCACCTCAATGCTTGGGTAGGGGCGAGGGGGCCCTAGCCTTTATTCAAGTGCTGAGCATCCGCGATTTGCAATATCTGAATTTGATGTCCTCAGTAAAGGCTGCGGCGCCTGCGGTACTTGTTGGTGGCTGATAACTTGGATTCTAACTCTCTCTCTTCGCCGGTATTTGGAGAAAGATCCAGGGCCCGGGTCTCTATTCATATACCGAGCATCCCCATTTTTGTTACCCGGGTTTGATGTACTGGGTGAAGTCTGCGGCACTGATCCCTATTTGCATGTTTTGAGACTTGGATGTATGGAAGAAATACCCCCGGCTGAAGTTAACATCGTGTGGGACTGGCTCATTCAACGTCTGTGAAAGTCTCTCTCACCCCCATCCAGACCGGCAGTTTTTCCCACAGGGTTTCCTGTCGGCTGGACGTTCAACCATGTTGAACCTTTCTTGGTGAATCACTTCACGTTCAACCGGGAGCTTTTCCCACGTGGTTTTCTCCCGGCTGGACATTCATCACGGTGTCATTGATACCACCAATGTTGTTACAACACACAACCACTCGGGGCACTCTTTCCGGCTGAGAAGCTTTTTCCCTCGCGGGTTTTTCTCCTGCCCGGTTTTAATGAGGCCTCAATTCCACGGAAGACAATCTCTTGACACAATGGACGGCTCAACACTGCCGTCTGGAAATGGGAAAGATTTGTTGGAGGAAATCGAAACGGTCGAACCTGAAGAAAATGGGCTTGGCAACCGATGCCACCGAGTCCTGAAGAAACAAGAAGACTCAACTGCCCATTGAACGGACCCCGAAGAAGAAGAAAACGGGTATGACAACCCATGCCACCGAGTCTTGAAAAAATAAGAGGACTCAACTGCTCATCGAACGGACCCCGGGAAAAAAAAAACCAAAAATCATCAAAAAAAACCCCAATCGGACAATTATTTGAACATCACCAATATTGATAATCAACACCAAAAACACCAAAAACACCAAAAAACAACACCAATATCATATCACCAATATCGATATCCAAAACGACAAACAAACGACAAAAGAAGGACAAAACCAACGAACAAAACAACCGGCACAATCAACCAAACCACCAAACGACTTTGGACAATCCATTCAATATCAAAAATTAAAAAAAAAAATTAAAAACCACAAACCAACAAACCAAGAAACCAACGAGGAAATTCAAGGCAAAACGAAGGAAACAAGGGGAACAAGGGGAAATTGGATTCAATTTATGTACGAGGCACTCTTTCCAGCTAGTTGTATTTATCCCATGGGGTTTTCCTCCAGCTGGTTTTAACGAGGCCTCGAATTGATGTCGGAGATGAATATTGAGTTCTACTTTTTGTATGGAATGGGTGACAACTGGAATTCAATGTATGGAAGGTGGTGCTGGACAGTCCGAGGGAGGGCATGGCACCTCTCTTTCGGGCTGTCGAGTGACCAACTCAAAGGGTTTATATAGTTGTTGCTGGATGGTTCGGGGGAGGGCATGGCACCTCTCTTTCGGATTGTCTGGTGACCCAATAATACAATAAATCTTATGATACTCACTTGGATTCTCTATGTATTGTAGATATTGCACTATGCCACAATAACTAGAGACAGTAATTTGTGTGCTAGCAGTGGATATGATATGTATGTGTCTTGCTTAGAGATATATTTGTGCAATTTGAAAGTAGTCGCGGCCATAAACTTCAAGTCCCATGATAATAGTTGACTCAGTCCTCTTCCAATCAAATGTTGCAGTAAAGTTCCCAGATACCTGAGTATCCCAACCAATCCAAGAACGCCTCATTGAGACCTTGTCGCAGAAGTTCATCCCCCATATAGTACTTTCTTGTCTTCTCTCGCACAGCAGTTCCAAGAGCACTCTGAAGAGGTTTCCCCAACCGAATTGTTTCAGTGGATCTCAGGAGGTCCGTCCAATAGATACTCTCCGGCTGCCAACGTCGTTCCTCATCTGCGGCTGATGCAAGTCTCTCGAATTCCGGCAATGATTGAACAGTCTCCCAAATTTTTTGTGCATCATAGTATGACGGCCTGCCATACTTCTTCAAAACTCGCTGAGTATACTCAGGGTCAACAATCTGCCGAGACGTTCGTTGCAAATAATCAATCTGCTGATCTATAAGAGCTTGTACGTTCTTTCTTTCTTTTGCGGGGTCCTCTTCTCTCTCTGTCTCGTCGAGATAATGGGTAAGCTCATCTCTCAATTTTCGTAAGCGGTATTGTGTCCATTCAGGATAGAGAGAACTTGTATCCGCATAAGGGCGGACGTTGGTAATATAGCTGGAGTCATAAACGTTCGGCATTGTAGAACGGTACGAAGTGATGGTCGATATCCGCTCCTTCACACCTTTCGCCCGAGCAGCCAGATGACAGACTTCGCCGCCTTGGAGCATAACGGCATGACCAATCTGGGGCCCCTCAACCTTCAGTGTTTGATTAGTCAGGACATTCCAGTTTCGGTAAGATGAATTCCTACACACCTTCTGTACCTCCCCATCTCCCTTCTTGATATAGGTCTCGCCTCCGATCATACCCTCAGTATCGCTTAGCATCAATACACAAACGTAAGGAAACGAGTCGTAGCTTTGGTCCAATTAGTACTGTCAGTGTTACAAGCAAGGTGACTAGAGGATGAACTTACTGCCACGGGATGATAGCACTAGCATCTTTCAAAGGGTCGTAAGTTCGGTCTTTGAGACTCAACTCGAGCTTTTCTACTGCCGGCTCAGCTTTGAGATTGCTGGCCATTTCTGCGATGGTAGTGCCTTCAACTTGAATGTTAGTGTGCCCTATTTCCGTTGGCATCACCACCTCTAGAGGTACACCGACTGCTTCAGACACAATCCTCATTGTCTCCGGGTGCGTCCAAAAGTCATTGACAAACTTTGACTGTTTTACTGCATCACGCAGGACCAAAGTCCCTGGAAATGGTGAGCTGGCACATTTGTCTATAACTTCCTTTTGAAATAGGGCTCTTCGGTAGGCTTTGACACCCTCGGCTGACAACAATGGAAATGGCACTGTTCCTGCAATGGGCGATGCGGTTGGACTCTGCTTTAAAAGCAATTCTTGCATTGTAAATTTCTTTGAAGGTGGGATGTAGTTGAGGTGCACCTGTTGGGTGGAATCTTAGAGGCAAAATTTCGGTTAAGCGTTGAAATGTGTCTATAATCACATACTTTTGGATCGAATACCTCTTCCTTGATGGGCTTTTGGGAAGAGTCCCAGATATATTGCCTCAGCAGGGTGAAAGGATTCATCATAGGCATAATATGTTGACCGAATAGCCAAATCCTAATAAGGTAATTGCTAATAGTTTTCAAATTTAAAAGCAAGAGTTATGATATAGGAGCGAGAAAGACATAACTGAAGCTCAAACATCTTCTTTAATAGTCGGTGCGACCAAAGCTATAGTTACAAAGTACTCCGCTTAGATTGACTCACCTGGGCAGTGCGCTACAGCACAGATAAGCCATTCCTATCCAGGAAGGTCTGTCCGGGGCATATCACCGGATTACATCAATATTATAGGATCGGATGTCCACGTTTGAATGCTTGCTGTTCTTATTGAGGTGTGAGTTGGCAATCTAGATTGCCCTCGTATGCTGTAACTTTACTATTATTCCACAACCCTACAGGACAAGAGATAGATCTACCGCTCTTCGTGTCTCCCGAAACGTAACCCAAAGGCTTATCGCAGTCTTATCTTCGCTTTATCTGACCAAGATTTTGGCTCGATGGATAAGTTGGAAGCCTGAGACTCGTTAGTTGGATATCATGGGAGCTGAGATGGAAGTTCACTAAGCCATAACATAAAATCACTGTTCGCGGGACTACCAGTACCTCCCAGTTTGACAAGATTTAAGCGTGGTTTTGAGACTGCGAGATAGGATATAGAAGGTAGAGATATAACGTTACGCCTTTTCCAATATACCCAGCATGGAACATTTGAAACCCATAGACGGGCTGTTGTTAGAGGAAATGGGTCGATGTATGCGTCGCACGATGTCCACCCCGGAATCCAAAACCTCCCGGTTTCCCCATGGGATTCTCAACAATGTGATATCGCTCGTAATCACTCATTCACTCGGTAACCAGCTACCATGTCTTTTACCTACTCGGCCAGCCATGGAGGATTTTGGCAGTCATCGACTGGGTGGAAGACCCGTGACCATCCATTTCCCAAAGCGGCTGATTATGTCATGCCCTCGGCTTTCCCCGCAATCTCGCTTTGCGTCGGCTTAACAAGAGCTTCTCCAAACCCTTGAGGTTTTCCCATTCTTTATTTTATCCCTTCAAAGCGCCTCGATTATGCTTACACTGTGATTCAAATTACTCTCTGTAAAGACCTCATTGCAGCTGAAACGGCTGTTCTCCCACCGTCATGACCCTCTCATCCCTTCTCCGCATTACTCCCCGCTTAACCCCGACCGCGGCCCGCAGAACCTCGCGAGCTGTATCGTCGGCCACTAACACATCAAATACAACCAAGCCGTTGGATTCAATCCTTATAGCCAATCGAGGAGAAATCGCTTTGTAAGTTGGGCACTAAATTAAGTGGAATTGGTGGTACTAACTTCGATATACTAGACGAGTTGGACGCACTGCTGCCGAGCGTGGAATTCGCGTAACAACACTCTACACCGACCCGGATAGCCGATCTCAACATGCCTTGAGCTCCCCCTTCGCCTTTAATTTGGGGTCTGTATCGGCGTACCTCGATGGGGATAGAATTATTGAGATTGCGAAGAAAGAAGGGTGCCAAGCAATACACCCTGGTTACGGCTTTGTAAGTTGGTTGTGCATAGTTAAATTGTAGATGGGATACTAACTGGAGCTTGTTACGCAGTTGAGCGAGAACTCAGCATTTGCGCAGAAATGTACCGAGGCTGGGCTGGTCTTCATTGGCCCGCCGTATAAGGCTATTGAGGATATGGGTGATAAGAGGTACGTTCATTGCGCTATTTGAATGCCCACTATGCTTACCAGATGTACCATACCAGTCGTTCCAAAGAGATTATGACAGCTGCTGGTGTGCCTTGCGTCCCAGGCTACCATGGACAAAATCAAGACCCTGCCTTCCTCGAGGAGCAGGCGGACCAGATCACATACCCGGTGCTTATCAAAGCCGTCAAAGGAGGCGGTGGAAAGGGCATGCGTATTGCCAGTTCTAAGGCGGTGTTTCAAGCTCAACTTGAGTCAGCTAAGTCAGAGGCCATGAGCTCATTTGGAGATGACAATGTGCTGGTGGAGAAGTACATCACCACACCTCGACACATCGAAGTCCAGGTATTTGCAGACAAGCATGGCAACTCCGTCGCACTAGGAGAGCGAGACTGCAGTATTCAACGGAGACACCAGAAGGTTCTAGAGGAATCTCCGGCGCCTCATCTCCCCGACGTAACTAGAAAGGACCTCTGGGCAAAGGCACGGGCGGCTGCAGAGGCCGTCGGCTACGAAGGTGCCGGTACAGTGGAGTTCATCTTTGATAATGACTCAGGGGACTTCTACTTTATGGAGATGAACACACGTCTCCAGGTCGAACATCCCGTGACTGAAATGGTCACAGGACAGGATCTTGTCCACTGGCAGATCCTGGTGGCTGAGGGAGCCAAGCTGCCCCTTACACAAGAAGAAGTGGAGGAGCGTATCGCCCAGAGTGGCCATGGCATCGAGGCCCGAATCTACGCGGAAAACCCCGAGCAGGGATTTATCCCTGATTCAGGGCGTCTACTCCATGTGCGAACACCGGCTACTTCGGGTGACATCCGCATTGACGCAGGCTTTGTGGAAGGAGACGAAGTCTCAGCTCATTATGATCCCATGATCGCCAAGCTTATCGTGCGCGGTGCAGATCGCGAGGAGGCTCTCCGCAAGCTGGCCGCTGCTTTGGAAGAGTATGAAGTCGCAGGACCCGTGACCAACATAGAGTTCCTAAAAGCCATCTGCAAGAGCCCTGATTTCATCGCTGGTGAGGTTGAGACCGGCTACATTGAGAAGCACCGTGAAGAGCTCTTCCCCCCGAAAATTATTGAGGAAGAGGTGTTGGCGCAGGTCGCCTTGGCCTGTCTACATCGCGATGCCGTCTCAGGAGCGCGATCCTCAGCAGGGGTTGCGGGCTCAACGGTCGGGTTCACTCCTAGTTACCAAGAGCGACAGTTGTCATTTACCCAGACCTCCGGCCCAGGGTCTACCGACGGCTCCACGTTCAATGTGCGAGTGCAGCAGACAGCAGATGACACATTCAACGTGGAAGTCGGCGGACGAGCCTTCGAGCAGGTGGTGAGCCGCATGGATTCGGCGTCGCACATTGTCACATCGTTTTTCCCGCACACCCGGTTAGATACAACAGTGGTTCGAGACGAGGACACTATTATCGCATTCCAGCGAGGGACTCAATACCGGCTCACGGTGCCCCGGGCTAAGTGGATGGAGAAGGCATTGGGACTGAAGGATGTCACAAACAGCGTTCTGGCCCCGATGCCGTGTAAAGTGCTACGGGTGGAGGTGCAGGCGGGAGATGTGGTGGAGAAAGACCAGCCGTTGGTTGTTATCGAGAGCATGAAGATGGAGACGGTGATTCGCAGTCCACAACGGGGAACCATTGCGCGGGTCGTGCATAAAAAAGGAGTAAGTCATGCACCTTTCCCCCTGACTATATTTTTTTGGCCCCTCGTGACATCTTTTCTGTTTCATTTCAATTTTTGTTTTGATGTTTTGCGCCCCCTAGTTATGTGCCTGGTCCGTTCTTTTATTCCCCCCTAGAACTTCAAGCTGGGGAGAAGAAAAGACCCGGGACTACATAAATTTCCACAACCCTGGAAAGACGTGATTCGAGAACAGCTGACCAACATGTACCTTGCAGGATCAATGCAAAAGCGGAACACCGCTGGTGGAATTCGCCGAGTCCGAATAGAGTGGGACTTTGTTATCAAGACGTACAGGTTCAGGTATACCGATGTCTGGCTATGGGGATACCTTCCAAGTTTGACACACATGTGGAGTTCACACTATCAATATCGATCTCGCCTTATGATTACAGTGCGAAGTAAAAATAGTATCCTTATGTCTTGGTTCTTAAATATGTTACAATAAACACAAAGCTGAAAATCGCGATTTTGTTGGTGATTTTGGGGGTATCAATAGACTTTTAGCGCCCCATACAGATGGCTCTGACCCTGAGCACATATATAACGATCAAACCCTAGGGTTCGTCGCCAAGTGGTCAAGCCGGGAATAGCTCGGATTTTCATGGAGAAATTCAGTGTTATTTGGAGCATATCGTTTTCTTGATAGCTGTTGCTCCTTCCTGCGCGGTTTGAAGACTTCTTCAGTCTCATATTGATCTTTCAATGACTTCCAGATCCTCTCTGGCTCTGGATCTTCGGAAAAGCTAAGATTTTTATTGATGCGAGCACTGACGGCGTTCGCAATCATCAATTGGGCATCTCTTTTTAGCAATTGGAGATAGTAGTACTGGGGATGATCAATTGGCAGGCTGCCTGCCTGTCCTTCGATGATTTGTTTAAGCAGGTTTTGGTTCATCAGGAGCTTGACGTTTTGTGCCCAGACTCGATAGTTGGCCATGCCAGTGAGGGCTGGGAATTTGAACTGGGCTCTTTTTCTTCCCAATCTTGTCATATCTTCCACAAAGGAGAGATATCTGAGGGCGGCTGCTTCTTGCTGAGCAGCTGTTGGTGGAGCAGGAGCTGCCTGCTCTCTCATAGAGAAGGCGGTAGGCTTTCTCTGACGGCGAAGGGGGGTTTCTTCCCTTCCGGAGGAATTGTCCAGGGTCTCCTTGACCGGGACGTTTTCAATTAAGGCAGTTATAGCTCGCTGAGCGGCAGCGAGGTCATGTTTAATTTTGTCAAGCTCTCTTTGCAAAGCCAGCACTTGCTGGCTAGCCTGCGTATACTGGCGTTGCTCGGTCGACTTGAGCTGGCCAGTGAGCTGCATTCCGGGGTCAGCTTCGGGACAATCTTGGCCTTGATCATGGTTATCGCCTGCTTGGGATGCATCATTCCCGGAACCGCCTGCTGATTGAAAATCAGGGGCATTGTCGTCGTCGTCCACAAGGGGGTTGTGGCGAGAAGGGGAGTTCCGGTTATTGGAAGGCTCTCCGGGCTGGGCCGTACCATTGCGTGTAGTAGGCGCCATCGTTGGAGATAGAGAGGTTGTAAAGATATGGGTTTGCAAAAGATGAAGTTGTGAAGCTCAGAGGTAAGCAATGGTATAGAAAATCCCAGCTGATGGAGTCAGACCGGGCTCATAACCTGTTGAAATAGTACACAGAGGGACTATACAGCATGTAAAAAGGAGTATCTCTTGCAAGGTGGATACTATGAAATATCAAAAATAAATTGTAAAACTGTCTAATCTCTTCATACATGGAAAGAAGCCCATATTTATAAGCTTCTCCTTCCCCCCCCTGGAATCCTTCAATTGATCAATTTGTAATAGAAACAGAGTGGTGGAATCAAAAAGAAAGAGCTGAATGAGCGGTGATAGCACTGAATGCTGGATTCTCCCGGGTTCCATTGACTGAATGCAGCCTGAATTGAAATGACTTCCTGTGCTACAACAAACTGGCGGTTATATACAGGAATTGGTGGTTTAGACGGCAAACTGCATCGACGGCGCTAATCTCGATTCCGTAGGACTTCGAACTTTCTTGGCATACGAGAAAGGCATAGTTATTCGTAATGCATAAAGCATATGTCGGATTAGGGTTAGCGTTGAAAGCTCCATGTTAATTACTGAGAATTAACCTGGATCCTCAACATTCAGGACTAGATTGAAAATGTGAAGGCGATACACATTCTTGAAATTAGGTAGAGTTGGGAGCGACTCTAGTGTTTTCTTGTGTTGGAATTACATGTATTTGTTATGTCGGATATCACAGCTTTATTCCACAGTGGATTCAATTTCGTCATTCTTCTTTAGTGTTAAAGTAAAATAGAGCAATCAAGCAAGTTGCAGCAGCCTCGAAGTGCGATGTGCTATAGAGTGCTAGGTAGCTTGAGCCATTGATGTATTTCTTTGGGCCGTAGCAAAGGAATTGGCTGCCCACCTTCAGATTTTTAATCCGCCGCCCTTCTCCAGAAATCACTATCATTGTCGATATCGTAGTCATCGTCATAGTCATCGTTGTAATCATCAACATCAAAGTAATCGTTATAGTCGTCGTCGCAAACATACTCATCATCTTCAAGCCCATCCCACGATGTGTGGAAGTTCCACTTCACTTCTTCCACTGGCTCCTCCACCACATTGAGTATCCATCCACGACTCCTCATTTTCCTTCTGAGATCTAAGCTTGGACCTTCCTCATAAACCTCGATGACGATTTCTTGAAGAGATGAAATTTCTCTGAAACGAGCATCAACCAGCGCAAGGGCCTTCTCACAGATCTTAGGGCTGTCAAATGAGTCGAGCTGGTTTTCCATGGCAGTTGTGCTTTTGGAGGTTGTTATAACCTTTTCCAGATTGATGCAGTGGCACTGGATCTTTTCGAGTATACGAAGGCTGTCTACTTCCAGGTTGACCTTGTATTCAAGCTCGCGAAGTGTGGGGAAGTCAATGCGGATACACTGAAGATAAGATGCGTTGATAAAGCCAATCGTATCAAGAAATTGGGCTATAATTTCAGATTCCCACCTACTGAGGTCAAAGCAGTTATCGCCATAGAGTAGTGATCTGGCCTCGTGTAGGATTTTCGTGTTCGTGGAGAGGAGATTGGGTACTAGCTCATGACCTCCATTCCACGGATCGATAGGCTCGCTGCGCACTAGGAGATACATGTATATCTCGTTGCGGAGTTCCGCAGGAAGACTTAAGAAGCTCGCTGGCATCTTTCTGATCGCGCTCCTGCAATGTTCGATAGTACGTGTGAATACATTATAGTTCAAGAAAATCATTGATAATGTTGACGAAATAGAGTCAAGTAAAGTCACGTGCTAGGCCTGTTTGATGTTTGCATATCAGAAGCTGTCCACGGGTACCTACCATATCATCGTATCAGTATACCTAGGTAATGCCTCCAGGGCTACCTAGGTACGTCTAGGGTGGTGAAACGATGCATTGTCCATGACCAAGACCGATTTCAGCTCCGGCCATCTTCCGAAGAAGCTGGGTGATAAAGTACTCGAATACAGTGGCATACCGCGAAAAACGCGAGAAGCCACAATATTTAAGAAATTCTTTTTTAGATAGCCAATTATAGTTATATCCAAATACGGCTTAGCGTTTTTCGGATATGAGCCGAGAAACAGTGTGTTTTCGACTCTCGCTGTACCGAGTATATGTACACGGTTTAATGACACTGCTGATCCAGTGAAGTATAGATGGTGAAATAGCAACTTGATGGCAAAATAATTCAGAATCACGATTGTCATCTGACTGCTCAGAGGGGGAGTTGTTACAAAACTGGGGCCAACCGGGGAAGTCCCCACATCAACCAGGTCCACTATTTACCCCAGACATCCTTTATTTACTTGGAGAGGGAAACTTGATATTTGACCGTTTTCCCTGTAATTTACATATGTACCTTATATGAGCTCTAGTTATTCACCGAGTAATCCCACATACGGAGTACTCGGTGGCAAAATGCAAACTGCATGACACAAAAATGACCACAGAGGTAAATCAGAGCTCTCCATTGGCCTGCGGCAACTGCGGCCACGTTGGCCCCGAAGTGCAGAAAGTGACTGGTCCTTTTAGAAAATAATAGGTAAGAGTGCCAAATACGTGTAGCTCCTCCAAGGTTAGGATCAAGCTCTAAACTGAGAGAGATTTGAAGGGGAAAGAATAACCTAAGATAGCATACGGAGTACTTTAACAATACATATGTAAACAAAAGTACTACATACATATGTAATATGATACCACGAAACTGGTAACCGCCGATCGATCTGACATCATGGTCTCGCCTCTAGCCTTTGAATTGTTTGAAGCTACGATTTAAGTTAATAAATAAAAAATCTCCTTGAGACCAAAATAGGCAGTCGATAGCCCCCACGTCTGCTATCCATTGGCTTGTTTTCACCGCAATTGTCGCATTCCCCAGCCCTTGAGCCCTGAAAAAAGTAAAATAAAAGTGACGTCCGATGACCTGCTCTGTTTAATACTCTCACCCTCCCCTGGATAGACCCTTCCCTCCTACCAATACCCATTCTTCTCTGATTTCATTCTCCCGTAAATACGTCATTCATCGCATCTCCCCCGACCTTTTACCTCCACAGCTCCAGTGCATTTGAAGCTGTGACCTTCAAAATGTTCAAGCCTGCAGTCACACGCAATGCCATCAAGGCCCTGAACACCGCCCGCCCTGTATTCGCAGCCGCTCGCCCAGCTACGGGGTTCACCCGCCCTCTCTCATACACTGCCTCGCTCGGAAAGAAGAAGAGCGATGACCCCGCAAATGACCCCATCCTCTCTGCTACGACCAAGGCCCCCGGGGGTGCTTCTGGTGATAAGGAGGGCCAATTTGCTCGCACTGATGAAAGCGTCCAAATCGAATACCCTCCCGACAGCGAGATGCCCACTCAGCCTGTGGCCCAGGGACGCGGTGGCATGCATTTCAAGCGTACTCTGGCCCAGTTCTCACTTGAGAAGAAAGTCAGCGTGGTAACTGGTGGTGCTCGTGGTTTGGGTCTGGTCATGGGCCAAGGTCTCGTCGCTTCCGGCTCAGATTTGGCTATCATTGATCTTAACAGTATGTTCTACAACCACTGTAAATAATCAGAGCAAACCATTCATTCTAACATCTACAAGAGGACGAGGCCGATTCCGCAGCTGCCTCGTTGATCGAGCAGTTCCGCAAGGAGAACCCCGGTCTGGAAGAGTAAGTCTCCATTGCCATACCGTTCCAGCTCGCCGCAGTGGGCTAATTCCAAACAGCATGCCCAATGTCACCGCCCATTACGCGGACGTCGCCAACCCCGACTCGGTGAGCAACGCCATGGCCGAAGTCCTAGCCAAACACGGCCAGATTGATAACCTGGTCACCTCAGCCGGCTTCACCGAGAACTTTGAGGCCATCAACTACCCCTTCGAGCGTATGCAGAAGCTGTGGGGCGTCAATGTCGACGGCACATACCTCTTCGCCATCAATGTTGCCAAGCACTTGATGGAGCGCAAGGCGCCCGGTAGCATCGTCATGATCGGCTCCATGTCCGGCGCCATCGTTAATGTCCCCCAGCCCCAGGCTCCGTACAACGCGGCGAAGGCTGCTGTGCGCCACCTTGCTGCTTCGCTCGCTGTGGAGTGGGCTGGCCATGATATCCGTGTTAACTGCATTAGCCCTGGCTACATGCTTACTGCTCTGTGAGTACCCCCTACATGGATGACGCGATACATTTTAGTAGAGAGATCTCTGGAAGGAATTGTTGCTAATGTTGCCATCATCAATCAGAACCCGCAAGATCCTCGACGAGAACCCCCAGCTGCGCGATCAATGGACCTCACTCATCCCCGCCGGCAAGATGGGTACACCGGAGGACCTGATGGGTGCCGTGACCTTCCTACTCAGCGATGCCTCCAAGTACATCACTGGGGCGGATCTCCGCGTTGACGGCGGCTACACCGTAACCTAAGCACGTAATTTGCGCGCCATTTAATCTCTCTTTGATATTTCTGTTGCATGATATCAGCTATTCCTTCACGGATATGAATCTGATATAGACCGGTCATACTTTACGGCATGAATTGCGGGATAATTTGGCCACGCATCTTGGGTTTTGCATTTTTGAAGCCATATTCCCGAGGAATACTCTTTTCCAAGAGTGACTTGGTTAAAAGTCCACTGAATCTTTTTTCGCCTTCAATAATACTACAACTTGAATCATGCCGTGTGGGGAGCCTATAATAATACATAGCTCCCCGCAAAAAGAATTATGAACACGCTGGTCTAGACCCGAGTCATATGTGCCCAGAAAAAGGAAATCTGAAACATCCACTCCCTGTCTAGCTAATTAGCTACCCTAGCACCTCCTTGCGGAATGCAAAAATTCAACGTATTAATATACCTAATCTGACACACCTGCATTCCGGGATGCGGATGACCTGGACCTGGGAATTCCGGCGGGACGGGTTCCGATCTTCCCGTTACTATTATACTTGATGCGAGTATCAGTAGTATGGCACACAAACGGCCGACTATTCTTCTATACGATACTTCGAAAGTGCCTTATTATTCACGTGTACCCTAAGATGACCTCGGGACCTTGGTAGTTTCCAAGGTTGTGTTGGTCCGGATCCATGGATACAATCTTTAAGCCGCAAACCTTAAAAAGTATCCAAACCTTGTAAGGTTCCAAGGTTGGAAGCACCTGGGCATCGCCTCAAGGAAGGCTCCAACCAGAGATTGTGCAACTTGCCGTTATTGCCCGACTTGAGACAACGAGGAGTCGTTTTAGCCACTGTGGCAGCTCTCCGGCGTTTAAGATTGACCAAACTATGTATCTTGCCCCATCAATTGTGCAGCTACGTACCTCGGCGACTATAAAAGGAAAACAAGTCGATTACTATGTACTTTTGAATGAGGCTCTTGTTAATGTTGATATCTGATACTTTAGGTGTCAGTATGGGGACCAAGACGGGGGCTGGGGGGGGAGAGGTGACGGCCAATCGCGACAATGACATGGCTGATATTGCCAGCAGAAAATTGGTCGATCCTACAAAATGCAATAACTAGATCATTCGCAATAAATAAATTCTTACCTACTATATCTATGCACATATAGTTAAAATGGTGTAGAGGGAAAAGCAGTTAGTCAAATTAGCCAATCATTTCATTGTCGCGATTGGCCGTTGGACCCCCCGGGGCCCCCGTATCTAACCCATCTTCGTAATGTTTTCCCCACCGCTCCATGACGATATTTTTTCTCCTTATAAATATCGCTAGAGGATCGCATTCTTTGCTTCTGGGAACGTCTCATCCCACCTGGCTGGGCTTATAACGTAGTTGTTCAACCTGCGCAAGTCGGATAGCCTGACCGGGCCATCAGCCAGATCTACAGCAGTCGATCATGGATAAGCTTCCACCGGAAATCCTTCCTCTGATTTTTGCGGAAGTCTGTTTCCCCAAAAGCTTCACTCCTGGCTCTGCTGACAATCATTATAGATTTGGGATCTGTACCCTGAAAGCCTACGAAGCTTGAATACAGTCAATAGACTGTTCTACGACACGGCTGCACGTTTTCTATACAGAACTCTTACTATTCGGTTTCAGAGCAATCAGGAATATGAGAAAGCCGTTACAGATGTGTTGACTCTTTCAACCGATGCCAACTGGCACAAGCACACCCGGCGGGTTGACATTGTCTGTGGGCAAACAGGGTTGCAGCTGAGCTCCAACTCCGAGATGGTGATGGACCAACTTCCCTTTCCAGAAGATGATCTCCATTTCGGCCCGGTGACGGAGAGCCTGACGGAGTGTGATGGCTTAGCTACTCCGAAGTGGGAACTACTAGTCTCACTACTTGGCAAGATACAGCATCTGGTGGAGCTCAACTACGCGGTCGTGAATATGTTTCCACGGGCCTTACTGAAAGCCCTGCATCAGCACCACCCACAATGCAGGCTCAACATCCACGCTTTCCGCCTCACGAGCCTCTTCCCGCCCCTGTTCGATATTTGCGAGATGGATCTTATCCAGTCCCCTTGTCTCCATGGAATTCATTTTAGCCCCTGGGCCGAGAGCGAAGATACTGGACCGGAGACTTTGGATGCCGAAACAATCTACAGGATTATGTCTATCGCTCCTAATCTCAAACATTTCTGTGTTGACTTTGAGCAGTCGGACTATCCTCTTTCCAAGGCCATTTCCAAAGAACAAGGGCTTGATTCATCGACCACGGCTTTTAATATGGGCAAACTGAAGTCACTATCACTGCGATTCATGCAGTCAAAACAGAAGATACTTCATGAAGCGAGTCGACATACGGACTTTTCTACATTACAGTCACTCGACCTGGATTATGTTAATGACTATGGTATCCCGAGGGCAATTGCGTCGACATATTCTTTCCGCGACTTGCAGAACCTATCTGTCGTCCTTAGCAACTCATTGAGCAACGGAGCAACGGAGTTGATGTTTGAATCGATCAATCCATTGACTTGTCTGAAGATCAAAAGTACTTTGGGTCCCAGTCTCATCGAGAAGATTCTCATGCGTCACGGCCCAACATTGCAAGGGCTGGTGCTTCTTCCCGGGCCCGGTCAAGATCCCCTATGGGCTGGGTTACCGAAAGGTGGTTGCGCTAAGCAAGTGTTGCGATACGCTAAGCTCTGTCCTCGTCTAAGGAAGTTGCACATTGAAACCCAGCGCACAGCCGGAAGTGAGGATGAAATACGGCTTTACGAAGCGTACGGTCAATTTCCTTCCCTGGAATCCCTCGCCCTGGATATGGAATGCGCCATTCCCCCCGAGCAATCAACGAACCCGGGAAGAGTTGAGATGCCTGCAGTGGCTGAAATAGCATTCAACCTGACACTTGATCCGGCCCTATGCCTCGCAATATGGGATAGAATTGCATCAACCCAGAGATCCGGTCGTTTGCGAAAATTGAAACTTCATCCCCACGCACGCCGCAGCCAGCCTAGGCGCCCCGATTCCCATGTTCTCGGTATGGTGCTCAGTCTAAAACGGTCATATCTTGTGCGACGAAGAATTTTTGACAAACAAGAGCTCCCTATTATTGTGGAAATCGACGCGGAAGGTTGTTTGCCGCTTAACTCCATGAAGAGGCCTTCCAGGCGTCCTCTGTGGTTCGAAGCATTACCGCAAATTAACTACGCATTTGAAGTCATAGCAGATAGTATGTACCCATTATATCCAGGTTGGCGGTCCGAATGGTTGATGCTTCCACTCCAAAGGCTTGCTGTTGATCTTTTGACCAACAGGCGCAAGAGGACCCGCGAGGCTGGGGATAGCGAGCGTGAGACGAAGCTACCTCGCACAATTGCGCAGTGATGTAAATATTGTATAGAGTGCGATGTTGGAAAGCTACTTAAAAGAGCCTCCCAAAACACAACTTACATTATTATCCCATACACCGAATATGCTCACCTCATTAATCTGGAACACGCCTTTTCCATAGCTCGGTGCTGGTTTCCTATTAAAGCCTCAAATTGACAATTCCCGTCTTGGCTAATTGGCTTTTATGTCGATCTCTTGTTATCTCCGACTCATAACACTTCAATGCTCCGTGCCGAACCCACTTAGTTCTTCAAGGCCGAAGAAAGTCCCTCTACGGAGTATATTTATTGTAAATAAAAAGCAACCCCCTCATTGTCAGTCAAAGTCCCATTTCGTCCTACTATATCCCCCAAATTACCATGCGCTTCAATCCCACATTGAGCCTAGCCATGCTAGCCAGCGCCACAGCCGCTCAATTGACAACCCAACTATTCAACTTCACCAGCTCAATCAACATCGAAAACAGCCAGCTCCGCCCTAACGGCCATCTCCTCCTCACAACATTCTACAAAGCCCATCTCTACACAATCAACCCGCTATCCCGCAATCCCAAAGCCGAGCTAGTCGCCACGCTTCCCGGCTCCACAGCTCTAACCGGCATTGCATCCGTTGGGCACGACAAGTATGCCGTTGTAGGCGGGGTACGGGGCTCATACCACTACGACAACGAAACCATCTACACGGTCGACTTCAGCAGGAATGCCACAAACCCCACCATCCAAACCGTCGCCCACATCCCCGACGCCGATATGCTAAACGGCATGGCCTCAATGCCGTCGCAGCCGCATATCCTCTTGATCGCAGACGCGCGGTTGGGAACTATCTTCCGCGTCGATATAACCACCGGTGTCTCGAAGGTCGTGTTGAAGAACGATGCCCTTGCCGCGTCCGCGAACTCGTCCCTTCCCATTGGTATCAATGGCCTGCAGGTTGTTGGAGATAATGTGTACTTCACCAATAGTGCGCTCAATATCTTTGCCCGGGTGTCTGTCAGCGAGGATGGACAGATCTTCGGTCGGATTCAAGTCATTGCGCGTCTGGAGCGTGAGGCTGGTGATACTGATTCGGATTGGGATGATTTTGCTATTGATTCTAGTGGTAATGCTTATGTTGCACAGCCGCTCAATTCCATCGCTAAGATCATGCCGGATGGAACGCAGACTGTTGTTGCTGGTGGGGGTGATAGCTTGGCTTTTATTGGACCTACTTCTGTGCAGATTGTGCCGGGTGGTAAGTGGGCTTATGTTACTACTCGTGGAGGTGATGAGGGAGGTGTCTCTTATGGTGGACAGGTTGTTGCTCTTCGGCTTCGCGAGTAGATAGTGCGGGACCTGAGGTGTGTACATGCATGTATAGATATCTGCAGCTACTAGAACTAATCAGGGCTTGTAAGCTTGACGCTAAAAATAGCCGATTTGCAGATTTAACCACTAAACAAATGGAATAATTGGGGACAATAAATTTGAATTAGAACGAGGTCTTCCGCTTTTGGTAGTCTTTCTACTAGCCTACTTCACACTCATGCAAGACCTTGCACTCTTCTCGAGATTCGGCACTTCTATATCTACTTTCTCGTGTCCACTTGTTGAGACACACATGTTGTAACATGTGACAGATTTCGTGAAGTGTTTCATCGCATAGTTGATCTCTCTGAAAAGCCGAGTTATCACCGCCTAGTATATGCTCGATATCTGCACGAGTCGACTAGAGAACTGAAGATTTCCAAAAATACATTTTTACTACGGATCTTCTAGATCGTTTGCAGTGGATTTACAGTGGAGAAACCAGGAGAAAGTACACCAGGCCCAATCACAACCTCCCCGGGTTTTCTCCGCATGCCGCATGCTTGAGAGATGCTCCCCTATTGGATGTACCGACTCAAGGGGCATGTGGATGTGAATGCCACCCCTCGGCAAAGCTCCTTGATTTGCTCTGAAGGACTTTCCCCAGGTGGTATTGGGAGTGTTCTGTGTCATATTTCGCAAGTCGGCCGCCGATAGGGCTGTATCTGCTACATCCCTGCTTGCAAAAGGACGCGCAATTCGGAATGTAACGATCAGGATGCTTTTTCCGACCTACCTTTTTATGTGTTAGTCTTGATTGCAGTGTTTTGGTCTTATTTTCAGTGGTTGAGTCGTAGTCCCTTCTTTTTCCTGTACAATATAGAATTCACGTCTATAGGAACGGTGAAGCCCAATCCCGTCCCGTCCCGGTAATCCCGAGTGGCAAGAAATTCGGGAAATTAGGAGATTTGGGAAGATTTGGGGAGATGCAGGCAGATCTAGGGAGATCTAGGCAGATTTGGGGAGATTTAAGGAAGATCTATTCGGTCCGATTTGGAATCTAAGGGGGCCTTTCCTCCCCCACCTTGACCGCTACAGGCAAGGGCGAACCCTGGGGTACTACATTCCTCAAATTCTTTGTCTTAAACTTCTCTACTTTTTCCGTTTTTCGATTCCTTTGTGGAGTGCGGATGCATGAAGCTTTTACAGTCATGATCTTCATACCTAAAAACCAGTTGAGCATGTTCGAAGGCTCTATCTGATGTGGTATCTCAGCTTCAAGTTCAACAACCTTGAATATCTTGGAGCTTCAAAGTCTCGACTTGCTACTTCAAAGTAGTACGGAAAAGCATAACCCGAGAAAACTTCTCTCTTCAAAGCACACCCGTCAAGCCTTTTTTTTCCCTCTTTTCTTGCTAGCGTTCTGTTTGCGCTGAATACAAAGGATGAAATCGAGCCTTGACTTTACATCAGCACGACTGGTCCACGCGCTATTCAGCAGCATCACTTGATTATACCCCTCCTCGACATTCCCAATCTCACGTCACTCATCTCGTACTTCTCTCCGTGAAAAGTCAGCATCCCGGTGTCATCTCAAGCTCGACGACCAAACCGAACATCCAAGATGGAGCCAAAGCTCCCCCAAGGTCTTGTGGCTATGTCAAGTGTGGCTCCTAGCGAGATCTTGGAGCAGGATACATTAAGTAATGGTGCTTACAAGAACCTTTGGCAAGGTAACGTAACACCCCCTACTCCTGGTCTCGTTGTGGACGAGCTGACTGACAACAAACAGCCTACTCGACCTCGTACCAAGCTAGCAAAGATGAAACCGAACGTCGCCTAGAATCTCTCTTCTGGAGGATATGGGCTTCTAAGCGACTCTCGAGCCACATGAATGCCTATACCCTAGACCGTCTTATCCTACGCATCAAGGCACCGGCAGTATTAGTCGGACAAAGGGTCACCGTTCCACCGTTGCCTGGGACTGGCGACAAAGAAGAAAAGGTAAACACAAGTTTGTTCCACATCGCACTATGTTAATCCCATATTGACGATTCATGCAAGCCCATCAATAATAATCAGCCAGGCTGTGCTATCGGAGCCTGTTCTCTTTATCCAATATTGAAAAAGCCGCTGCCTTCAGAGGTTGAAACAGCAACTCAGTTGCTCCTTGACACTCCCCTCGGCACAAAAATAACACTCGACCCTTCCAACTCTCCCACCGCAGAGATGGCTGCTGAGCCCACTCCCAACCCAGGTAACGTGGGCCACCAGCGTCGCAAGAAGACCACGGTGGATGCCGAGTCTACTCAAGGTCCCAAGAAGACCTACCTTTCTACGACACGCAACGGACGAAGCCCACGCCGCCGCCCGGTCTTCAACCGCCGCAAGTCGTCGCAGACACCTATCCCGAAGACCGCACCTTCCATTCGCCGGCGCTCTGAGCCCACCACCAAGGCCGATGGGGCTGACACTGTCTACGAAGACAGCTATGTAGAGCTGGGTCTATTGCAGCACCTCAGCTTCCGCGATGAGGACGACCAGATCGCGCGTGATCTGGGACGTGAAATTGCACCTGAGCCAAAGCCCGCCAAGCCGTTTGTTCCACTGTTCGACGACGAATTCCTCGATGAGCCTACCGCCATCGAGGCCGCGAAAGCAGCACCAAAGACGTCTCCTGTTCCTTTTCCGCGAGCTTCTTCCCTCCGGCACCCGATGTTGAGCCCTGAAGACTTCTGCAAGATCACCCCGTCGTTTGGCGTTATGGAAAGCCACCTTGACATGCCTGGTGGACCGCAGCTTGTTGCTCCTGATGATATTGAGGGGGACTGGACGGATATCGATGCTCTCGATTCGACGCTTCCTGTCTTGCAGCCTTTCAAGAACTTGGTCTCGCACCATGAGAATGTTGATCAAGACCTCCCAGATGTACAGCCCACTGTTGTCCCCGTCGTCAAGGAGGCTTCGTTGCTGACATCTGCGATGAAGGGAGTGAAGTTGTGATCTCTCATCACCGAGAGACAGAGTCTTGACCTGGAGGACCACAATTCCTCTGGGTAAGGCACATCAGTTGCAGCTCTTACTTCGCCGGCTCTCAACATACTGTACATTACCATGCCTCGGAGCATGCTGACCTGAAGATCTCGGAAATACTGGATGCTTGAAGGGGATCGCTTCACAGCAGATACAGGTTACTATGGAATACAAGGTGGTATTCGTTCATTGTATCCAAATTGATGGTCTAAGAATCAAATACAAGAAACATTAATATGCATCAAGTTCCCACTTAAAGCTTATTGTGTGTATTCTATTTTAAAATTTACGCAGTAAACGACAGAGTCGGATCAATCTCCATCTATGGGCCTACATTCAAACCAAGACACCGAGCTATGTCTCAAAAGAACCTTAATGCTTTGTATTGGAAGAACGCCATCCATAAAAAAAGGCAAAAGCACTATACACCATGACTCCCGAACCCAAGCGCCAGATATAAAAGAACAAACGAATGCAAATGTTATTCGTCCTCCCCGTCTTTTCCATCCGATGCCATCAAGGCATCTATCCATGGCAGATTCAACCCGGCAAGCCTACTATCAAAGCGAGCATGCACAACCTCAAAGTCCACCTAAATCTGCTCACCCTTCTCAGCATCAAACCCACGCTCAGAAACAGTCGACCTGCGACTCTTCAACCAGCGCATCAAAACCCAAGAAGCAGTCATAACCCAGAACGCCAAGTTAATAATATCAATCCACACAGCATGGCGCATACGATTAATCTTCGACGCATCACCAAGCGCCGACGTAGCCGCATCGGTCTTCGCACTCGAACTCTCCACAGGATGAACACCAATATACATCTTCCCAAAGATGCCAAAGAGCGTCAACCACAGCACGGTAACAACAAACTCCCACACAAACTGCGGCAGCAGCAGGGCGGGGCCTGGCCCCGCACCGGGCTTAGCTTTTCGCATCACGAACGGCAGAATGAGATGTACGGCGGCAGTTACGGTTGCCAGGAAGGCTGTGATGAGCGCGTACACCCATTTCGAGTGCCAGGTGTGTTTCTCTGAGTGGTCGTGGTGCACGTCTTTGCCGTACAGGCCGATAACGGTTAGGCCGAAGACGAATTGGAGGAATCGGACTCCAGAGAAGAACATGAAGGTGAGTTTGGCGCCTTTGCTTTGTTCTTGTGGGGGAGACTCGAAGTGTAGGGTTGTGCCGGGCGTGGCGCCTGCTGGGTACCCGCTCATTGGGTGTTGCTCCGCTTGGTAGTTTGGGGGGTAGGCGCCGGCGTTTTGGTTTTGGTATTTTTGGAGATCTTTCTTGGCTTTGTGTTTTTTGGCTTGGGAGTAGCCCAGTTTGAGGAGTGGGACGGCTAGGAAAGACATTTAATTTCTCTTAGATTGTTGATGTGATAGGTTGTTGGTATTTTGTAGTTGGAAGGTGCCAATGAAAGCACTTGGGCAAAGGTAATTGCTTAGGATATGGCGCACAGCGCAGAGATTATATCGAGAAGTAGAGAGAAGTGAATTCGAATGAGAGAATGAGACGAGTATTCCAAGATTCGGCAGACCAGATGCCAAATAAGAGGAATGAAGCTATTGTCGAGATTGTATAGCTGGATATGAGGACAAAGAGAAAGTTGCCTGGCGTATTCAAAGTGTATAATAGAAATAGAAGAGGACAAAAGAACGAAGAATGAGAATTAGAATGAAAGACGAGTCTGGTTTCATCATTGGCAGAGCCCATACTTGTTCTTTATATACCAGCCCTATTCTCGTTCTCCGGGGCATGTTCGTCAGAACTTTGGAGACAACAAAGCCCAATGTTGCTATTTTCTACCATCTGCAGCCCAGGATGAAACGCATTTCCTTTGAGCGCGCGGTTCTGGGGTTTCTCCACTGTGTATCTTCGTCTTTCATCCAAAGACATTCAGTCGGGGACGAGAAGATGAAACGGGTAGATCAAAATAGAATGCCGAGCACCCCTGGAATCAGAAGCAAACACAAAGCTAGTAAGCTGGTAGTCCTGCAGAGCTCATCATCCTTGCATGGTGGGGTAGCTTCAGTTCGCGCGCGCCAACTCGGGTTTGAGATGGTTTCAAGTGCGGTTGATCTAGGTCCAATCAGAATAGTCTGCTCTATTTTTGGGATAAGTTTACTAGTTTACTACAGAGCGCCTAGTCTAAGAAAAGAGTACATGCGACGAGAATGGACATTGGATCATTTCACATCTGATTCAGAACATACATATCATGGACATTACAATTACAAAGATAAAAAAAAGAAGAAAAACTCCAACAAGGAACTTTGTCCGATGAGTTGCTCGCCATACCAACATGCTTGAGAGGGGATTTCCTTCCATGCAACAATCCCAGAACACCCCTCAAAAAATACCCAAACACCCTGTCAACCCGAGAAAAAAAACAAATGCAATGATGAAATGCGAAAGAACAGCTATGCGGACGCGGTAGGTCGACTACGCCGGTCGACTTGCTCCGGAATCCGCAGAACCCTTGATGCCTTGGACAGAAGCCGCGATCTTCGGATGATTTCCAGAGGGCGGCAGTGGAGGCTTGAGGTCGGAGGGGGATGCAGGGGCTAAAGATGGGATCGGCGAATCATCATCATCATCGTACTCATGTCCTTGGTATTCATCATCGGGAAGGCCTGATCCACCGCCGGGGGAGTGGTCAGCCGAAGCGCGGTCGTATCCCTGCTGGTAAGGCTGCTGGGAGCCATTCTTCGATGCGTTCTTCGTCGCCTTCTTGGTCTTGCGACCCTTCATCTTGGCCTTCTCCAAAAGTCGCTTCTTCTCCGCCAGTCGCTTGCGCTCCTTGCGGTCTTTCATCTCATACTGTCGGATTAGGGCTTCGGGGGGATGCCCAAAGATGCTCTCATATTCACAGAATTCACAGATCCAGATGTCCTCGAGACTAGGGGGGTGGTGGAAGTTCGTGTATTGTTGCTGGATCTTGCGTTGACGTGCAGACAGTGCGTATGTGCTGCTTGGAGATCGTTTCTTCTTGGGGCCCACGGGAGTTGGCTCTCCACCTTGAGCGGGTGCTTGCGTATCGGGTGGGGCCTGGTTGTTCGTAGGGCTAGTCTGTGTCCCTTGTGTGGAGAACCCCCTTTGTTTTTGACTTGCCGGACCGAGTGGTGAAGTGGGGGATCGATAAGGGATTGAATAATTTCGCTGCATGGCCATGCCTTTGGACGAGTCGGACTCACACGTGAAGGTGAATTGTGTTTTCGTCGGAGTGGTATTTTCTTTCTCTTTCTCCAATAGGCTGACGTTACTGGGACCTCGAGGCGGAGAGGAGTGTGTTGCAGCATTGGCGATCGCGGTGGAGATAATTCCCTGGTCAGAAGGAGATTCACCTGGTGCGAAAGTTAGAACAAACAGTGTACTGGGAAAATGGAGGAGGAAAATGCCTACCAGAAGGGCCAGGGGATGACATCAACCCGTCCCGCCGACTGGGCGTCCGAGCATTCAACCATCCATGTTGAGCATTAGGCGATAACGGGTTCCTGCTGCTGCTACGAACAGTAGGACGTCCCAACCGACCTCTTCCTGAACCAGATATTCCATTTCCTAAAGGAGACGCAGGGTTTCCACTCCCATAATATGTACCAGTGGCATCGGTCGGGGTAGGAACCCGTACGGGGGTTGAGCTTGCCAACCCCATACTGGCGAACTCCGGAGACAATGCAGAATGGTGTGCTCCCAAGTTTCCGGGTGTAGGTATCTTTCGCTTTTTCTTGTTATTCGTATTCTCAAACGCGTCGTAACCGTCCCCGGTTGAAGATTTTGTCTGCGGTGTGTCGTGAGGGAAGCTATGTGGATTGCCAGACACAGGAGGTGAAAGCGAAGATCTCCGGATAACACCACTCCTCCGAACAACCATCGGACCGCCTTCATCACCGCTCTCCAACTCTACTGACGTCTCAAATTCATGGGTGTCAACCTCTGGCGACAATTCAGTCTCAACAGTCTGCTGCACATAAACTTTGGATTCATTGACCGCTTCTTCGGAATCCGCAGAAACGCCATAGAATATTTGAGACGCCGGCGGTGTAGGCGGATAGAATAGAGTATCAGCAGCATCGGAAGAAAGGCGTGAACGGAGGGTCCGTCGAGGTAGAGGACGGATCAGACGATCAGGATAAATGGTAGAGGGTGTGTCAGGGGACGAATTGAACACCCCGTCTACATGGCATCGTCAGTATTCAGTCAACTAGTTGATCGATATCCTGAATTGGGGAATTCCCGATCATCCGGGCCAGATGTCCCTGAGCTGACATACTCAATGTGGCTGTCATCATGCAAGATATCCACACTCGCCATCAACCGCCGACGATGCTATGAGGATGATATTCCAGCCCTTTGGCTCTGTCCTTTGATCCCCCGCCACCGTATTTGCTTTTGAAGGTGCCAATAATTCCAAAGTCGGGGGTGTTGTGTGTCGAAGTGGGAGGTAATGTCTTCAATGTCTGTGGTCCGCGGTCATGAGCTTTTTTTCCTTTCAATAACAACATCCCGAGAAGTGTACAGGCGGTGAGGTCAACATGTAACTGGGATTCAATCCAATCCCCGCGTTCCTCTGCCGTCCACAATCCCGGAGACACGAATATCAACCTACCCACAAAATAGTGCTATTACTCAGCACCTTATAAATTCAAGATCGATGGACTGGGATCCAAGGTCGGAAGTAAAGCAAACTTGAATCCGGATTCAGTGCTAAAGACAAGGCAAATGAACAACTAGAAATAACTACTAAGAGGGGTTGAGGGATATGAAGAGAAAGAGACAAGTCACGGGAATTTAGAAAATACGCTAATCTCCTTTTGGTAATCGTCTACCCAATGACTTCGGGGAGGAGTGGCATTACCTACATAGGTACATACACCTGAAGAAGTACTCTGCAGACCAGACACCTGGCACATGTTTGGTGTATCTTCTAGGTGCCATAATGTACTGCACCTTTGGTCAACATTCAATATTGCGGTGACGGTTTCTCTACTTGGGGGGGAAAAAGTCCCGCTCTCCGATCATCTCCCAGATAGGTACTCCCGGTACCTGCATTCACAGGGAATCCAGCATCTAAGAGCTGGTGTGAGGGATTGATTCAATGTCGGTCATGAATTTGCTGATCACACTACAAATCATAGCCCTAACTCGCGCAACGAACCTCGATCGGGTGTGATTGGACCTGTTAGACCCCTCCGGAAGGCTTTGCTTAAAGCCTCATTTCGCCTCTCCGACCACCAATGCACCCCGGAGCACATTTCGGAGAAATAACTACATGATCTAGACGTTGGGAAGATTCGAAGCCATAAGTTTCAACACGCAACTAGACCAAAGTTGCCTTGCCGATGCCGAAACCAGGTTCGGCTCGAAATGAGAGGCACACTCGGTACGAATGATGGTCCACACATACAAACCTTGAGACGATAGGACTGATAGGATTGGTTATTTCTATTGTTTCTACGGCATAGGAAGATCCAAAGTCGAGTTATGCGGCTTAAACCTCTCAAGGCCATGAAACCACGTTAGACCTTCCTTGGCCTCTCTCTACGTTATTTCCACAGGGACACATCGCATAGGTTTCTCAAAGAGAATGCCGGCAACCCTATATGGTATTGCATGTTGTGCCTTGTTACCTGGCCAGCCTTCTTTCGCTTGCAAGCTCTCCCGGTGTTTTATCCTGTTGTGCTAGTGGGAAAAAAAAAAACAACCCCCAATTAGTGGGCCACAAAGCCATTGTACACTGTAAATATATGGTCGAAAGAATGGCCAAAAAGTATATAAGAGAACAGCATTAAATCCCTCCGTAGGCAGGGAAAAAAAGGAGTGAAACACGAACAGCATGAGTGGTAAAAGATTCGCGCGTCGAAAGGCGTCGAGAGCGGGGAAACCGGCGATTGGATCTTTTGGAGTCCCGTTCCGGCGCTTTTCTCCTTCTCTTCTTCCTCCCCGCCATTACAAGGAATCATTTCTCGGACTATGTAGTCATCGGGCTCTTCATCGAGCCTTGTGACGCCTTTATACAGATCTGCGATTTCCAATTGTCCTGCTCCTTTTCACTTGACTCTGCACCCTCCCCAAGAGCTCTCAATCGCGCGCGAGAGCTCCCTCGCAAACGGCTTTTCTCGAGTTTCTGCTGGAACCACACCAGCCAACGTCTCGAAAACCTGTTGATTTTTCCTAATCTGGTCTTCAGAACTCTCTTTTATACTCTCATACAATCCTCAGCCCTCCCCCACCATGACTCCTCGTCGTTCCTCTCGGGCTCGCACCTCCCAGCCCTCTCCTGCCCTCCAACAACACACCAACTCTTCCTCCAGCTCCTCAAATTCTCTTACTCGAGAGAGAAGCACTCGATCAAATCATAAAAATCCTTCTCCTAACGAATCGACCGGCCACCGCTCTCAGTCCATCGATGATGCTGAAGGTGGCTCGAAAGACCTTCCACATACGCGGCAGCGCCAGCGCGCTCACGACGACGACGATGATCCACCCCGTGAAGAAGACGAGGATGACCTAGATGATGAGGAGGAGGAAGTGACTCGATGTCTCTGCGGTCAGCAGGAATATCCAGGCTTGCCTTCTTCTCGTCGCGAGGCCCTCGGTCGCGGCACCATCAAGCTGGAGTCGGGACAAGTCCCCACTGATCCATCCGATCCTCTGTCAGATGAGATTGGGAGCATGTTCATCCAGTGCGACTTGTGTAAAGTCTGGCAACACGGTGGTTGTGTTGGAATTATGGACGAGGCAACGAGTCCTGACGAATATTTCTGCGAGGAGTGCCGGAAGGATTTGCACAAAATCAAAGACGAACCTCATGGGTGAGTGAAAACCCGTTATTCTTTGAATTTACTCGGCCCTGCATATTCCTGCAATTGCTGTCAATCTATATCTCGGTGGTTGTGCTTTGCTCGTGTTGCTTGGAGGGGCTGTTTTTCTGACGCAGCTTCGAGCACAATCACTCCCCAAGCAGTTATAAGATACAAATCACTACTCTATGTTGCCATATAGAATATTTTGAAGAAGCATACTGACAATCCTACAGACAACGCTCCTCTACCTACCTTCCTGTTGCACCAGAACCAACGCCGCCGCCACCTCCACCACCACCACCTCCTCCTCCTCCAGCAGCCCCAACCCCAGCCCCAGCGCCGGTCGCAGCCCCGGCCCCAGCGGTGCCTGAAGTACCTGAGGTGCCAGTGGTGCCATCCGTCCCAGTCGCCCCGGCGGTTGCCCCGTCCCCCGGCCCATCCTCTCGTGCCTCCTCGAGAGATATCTCACGGCGCTCCAGGGATCCCAAGTCCCGGAACAGCGAGAGTGCCGCCGCGCACGCCAAGCGGCGATCAACAATGAACAGCCGCGATGCTGCTTACGACGAAGAAGAATTGATCCGACGCGCAATTGAGGAGAGCAAGGCCGAGACCAAAAGCAATGTAGATGAGACAGACACACATCTAGGCAAGCGAAGTCGAAGTGACAGTGTGACGTGCGTATTCCCAGGCTGAACGGCATTGGCACGGATAATGTGGCTGACCAGTTACCCAGGAACAGAGAACGAGCAAAACGTCCACGAACTACTTCACCGTCACCCAGCGCCGTCTCGAGGCATAGCAATATACCATCTCACCCGCCTTCTGATGATGAGACGAAACCAAAACCTGCAGTCAACGGAACTCGCAGACAGAGAGCTACGTCTCGAGGCCAGCTCGAGAAAGAGCCTGGGAACGAACCCGATGAGGGCGAGGCAGAGGCTCCTGAAGCGGCGAATCGTCGGAAAGAACGATCAAACCGGCGCAAAGGAGATGGTAAGTGACACAGCCACAGTACACAATTGCCCACTTTCTGACACTGCTACAACAGAATCCGAGCCCGAAATCGGTTCCCCAACCAAGACAGCACCGCCAGAGCCTGAACCGTCCCAAGCAAGCCCTAACACCCCTACTCCCCAAGATCCCACACCTGTTCGTCCGTCAACCCGCAAGTCCGGTCGACCTCCCGCTCGTCGCGGTCGTGTTGGACGAAACCAATATACAAAAGACCGGGACACCAACGGGAATGGAGATTCCGGGTATATGGCGAACTCGCCGCGCCGCGGCCAATCCCACGAAATTGGCGGAGACTCCCCTCGAGTTGGCTACAGCGGCGTCAACGGAGCAAACATGAATGGTGGGGAGTCAGGACGGCCAAGCAAGCCGCGCCACATGCACCCACAGCGAACAACGATGAACGAGATGAAGCGCCGAGTAGCAGCCATCCTGGAGTTCATCTCGCGCATGCAAGTGGAGATGGCTGTTGCCGGCGAGAACTCCTCCACGCCTACGGGCAACGACGACCGGGCCCAGGGCCTACTCTTGAAGAGCATGGTCGATCAGATCGACAACGCCATGCCATCCACAGGCAGCGATGGCGGCGAGTCCGGCCCCGCAACCACAGACGGCGGCTACGGCGAGTCATCGACGAACCATGAAAGGGATTTCAAGGAGCTCAGCAGCGTCGAGATGATGGACGTGCTCACCCGCCATCTGCTCAAGTGGCAGCAGGAATACGGCAAGTTTGGAGAACGGTAGTCTCCGTCACTACACACAGCTGGTTTTCCTCTTCTTCTTGCTCTATCTCATCTTTTGAGCTTATCCGCTGCTTCGCATCACGATACCCATCTTAATTTGCTTTTCTCGTCCTTCGATGTACACTAGATCCCATCTCAGGTGCTTTTTCCTTCCTCTTCTCTTTTGTCTTCTCCATGTCATTCCATACTGGTCCGGCGTCATGATCATCCTGGAAAATAAGGGTGGTATGTACCCAGTGGTGACTCATCGTCTTGCTTGGTTCCAAGGTTTCATTGCTCATGTTATCTTTCTATCTGTTTATTTGTGGACCATGCTTTGCTATGACTTTTAGTCTTGCTATTCGGTGTGGTCATTATTTCCAGAAGTCCTCTTCCGCTCTGGCTATTACTTGTGTCTTTCGTTATTTTGGTGCCCGGGTTTCATTTTTGGTGTTTGGGGGAAAAGTCAGGGCCTATATATGGCTGATTGTCTTTTTATAAGAAATTCTTTCTTTTTCTAGTAGGAATACTATCACTACTCTATTTTCCATTGCAGATATTCAAGGTTTTAGGGATGGAAGGCATAGAGTATATTATGCCTCGCAATATCTCACAGCTGAATAACAGAAGAACCAACATATTAAAAAAGCCAATGGCACTCCCGAGGTCTGACTCGTGGGCATCTTGCTTAACCCTGTTGATAGGCTGTACCAAATAACCTTTGAATACATTCATATGTCAATGTTAGTACGTTGCATTGTATAAATAAGACCGAACCGCCGACTATATTTAGAGTCAAAATGCAGCTCGATTACCTTCCCACTGCCTTGCATATTACACTATAGGCTCGGCATTGGGTATCAATTATGTATTGTAAGAGTTTATATATTTCGGTTTCTGTAATTGACGAACTGGTATCGGCAGTGATGATCCTGCGAGATGATACACAGCGGATAATCCCGAGTCCAGATTTTCCAAAAGGGTTTTTTTTTAATTTGTTGGGTAAACTTGATTACAGCTTAGTCTTAACTGAACATGAACAAGGTTTCTCATTTCTCATGGAGCCATCTGGATGGGATGTCTCGAGTTGAGCTCCAACAACTAGTCAACCTGAAGCCACCTATACATCCTAACGAAACCGGGATGACAACCCAGTGTACCCATTCAAACATCCTTCTTGTCTTCTATTAAGGAGTCCTTTCAAGGTTTCGCGAGCAGCCAGAAAACCCTGATAATAGCAGAAACAGACAGCAGGTGTGACAGCGACCTTGTCGGCGCAAAACCGACGACATATGAAGGGTAGAAAACGAAGACTTTCAACAACACATGAAGACCCAGGAGATTCAATACTTGCTGATCACCAGGGGCCAGTACTTGAGCGAGACATGCCCCAGCCGCAAATAATGGGAAGTTTTCGATCAGCGAATGATGGGCCGACATGAGACGCAGTGGGATGCCCTCCATGTTCCCGCGATGCTTCCGAGGGTGATCATTATCGAGACCATGTGATCTGGACATGGCTTGCCCGGCAACGGACAAAGAGCTGCTGCCGGCAAAAGTCCAAAATGCATATAAGACAGCAAGCGCAGGGATTGCACGACCAGATGCTACATCGCTGCCAACTGTGGAGTCGATAACAGTCTCGATGAGCTTTTGGACTGTGCTTTCGGGTTTTGTGATCGCGGCTGCTACAGGTGCCAGTGCCTTTTCTTGTTAGTATTAACCATGTGCAATTATGAGGCGCACTGACTAGGTATGCTGGTCCAGTTGCGGCGAAAAAGATACCAGAAGGGTTGTTTCTTGATTTGCAGAACCGGGGTCTATGTTAGCATATGCGTCTTATTGGTGATAGGGTTAAATATCAAGACTCACATGCCGTTGGACATGATGTCGCGAAGAACGATTCAGAGCACGTAGTAATGTTAAATGGATGGATTGGACTATGGATGAATGTCGTCGGTGAATATGACTGGGTTTTATACAACTCGTCCTGGGGTCTATTATCAATGGCGGATGGAAGATCGTCCGTCGGTTGTTCTCCAGCCGAGGAACTGTAGCATGTTATCTGATGCGGGGTCCATAGATCAAGCTGAGAGCCCGAGCCTTTAATTCCGACTACAATATCATCAATGTTGTTACAACATGCACCGTAGAAGGGATATATCCGGATACTGGCGTGGAAAATAGCATTGCCTCCAGTACTGTTTTGAACTAATCAAATGTAGTATCCCATGGGGCAATATACGTACATTCGGGCATCTGCATACAGCTTAAGATCATGGAATGTGCGAAGGTACAATTTCACAGCACAGCTACGCCATGCCATGTAAACAGATAAAATCCATTCCCCCCCTCCCCAAAACAAGCCAACGGAAGTTACCTAGGTAGCAGTATGTACCGGATTTTACGCCGTGGATGCGAATTTCCCGATCGGGATGCCGCCGCTTTATGTGGGCGCTCGGGGTCCTGCTCACTAGGTATCTCACGGCACAGAGTGATTACTTGGTGACCACTTAATTGTACTTAGTAAGTAGTCAGATGAAAGGTTAGTTGGTTACTCAGTGATTCATGGATGCTTAGGGCATGCTTAGTAATGTCAAAATAATACTCAGATTGGTACACAGCAGAATTAATCTCGATGATACGGCTTAGGTCAATCTGCACGAGCCTCACTCATATCATAACACTGCTTGGATGTCGGTACGTTGGTGCCAACGTATGGGAGTAGAACGAGATGAAGAACGTTAATCAACACGTAGTATATATGAATTTGTAGAACCAAGAGCCAGCTTATGGGTAAACGCGATCTTCTTTCAGCGGGATATAGAACCAATCGAGCTACGCAGTCAATCAGTAGAGGTACGGAAGTGCATGATCTTCTATTTGACATGGCTGTATAACAGCTATCTACCTTTGAAAACATCGCCACTAGCAATAAGCGACTTCCTGTGTAATCCGAATGTCCAGTCATTTCTTACCTACCAGTGCAAACGGCGGTAGCTGGCACCTTGATGACATTGGTGAATGTCGACAAAACCAGCCTCGGGCGCAACAAGAAGGTCCAGGAGTTATTGGGATATCCTGTTGAGGTGTGTCCTTTTTTGGCCATGACATGGTCAAGATCCTGGCATCTTGTCGGGTTTGGAGTCTTTTATAGGGTGAAAGTTCGCGTTGGAAGGTTCAAATTCATACATAGCACTGTTTAGAAGGTGAGGTATATATATATAGACCGCGTCCGCCCATGTATTACCAAAAGTGGCCAATTTGCATATTGAACACAACTTTGAGTAGAATGCAACTAAAAGCAATAGCCAGAACTAACTACCGAACCGAAGACAAGCGCCCAAGTCAGAAATCAGCAGAGCGCGGAGAGAGCTGGAGTTTCATGGGAAGACCGGGGCACTTTCCCGCTATTAGATATAATGTCAAGTATCTTTATCTTTTTCAGAAGATGAGGCACTTTGGCGGAGTGGTTAACGCGATGCCCTGCTATGCATGAAAATGTAAGCCTAGGCATTTCCCTCGGGAGCGTGTGTTCGAATCACACAGGTGTCGATTTTTTTGTATCCCTCCCTTCACGCGCGCTCTATATAAGAAATAACCCTCGTTAAAATCGACCCCACTATTTTGTAAAACCTCTATCCATAGTTAAAAGAGTCAGGCTTCGTACCCCTCTATATTACAGATTTTGGTTTCTAACCTGGGTTTACCTACCGCCTATATGACCTTTATTATTTATTATTAATTAGCCTTTCTTAGAACCTTCTAAGGTTACTTCCCCCTCACCTGTATGTAAGTAAGTAAGGAAACCTTTATTTATATTCTAGAAGAATTACCTCCGACGACCCTCGATTTTAAGTGACTACATACAGCTCGGGTCATCGATGAACCCGGTGCTCAGCTCACCGGATAGCCAAAAATGTCATATGACTATTGTGCTCGGCTCACTAGTTCCTATAATTAATAAATTGCAGTTAGTTTACCCATTACCGCTTAATTCGAACTAGTTCTAAACTAACTTCTTATTATATGAAAATAATTCTACCATTTTCTGTCAAGAATACTAGTCTTCAGGCTCGCACTTGTTGGTCAGGCAGGTAATCCAGTGATGGAGAGGAGAACGTGATGTATTCTTCACACAGAGACTAATCCTTGCTAAGGGGAAGTCATGGAGAGGGTCCAATTCGTATAGATCTCTCCATTGAATCGTATGCATAACGATGACGATGCTGATTCCATGCATCTTCCATACGCATCTTCCAGGAAGTGTGGTTGTCATACCCCTGCAATGATGAAAGAAACTCTACATACAGAGGTCCTGAGGCTTCAATGGAATGGCCTCAGGTTGTAAAGGATTTCATCCTTTACAGTCTTATAGTTACACTTATAAACTCCTCTATTTAAAATATATTTCTATAACTTCGACTATATTAATAAACCTAAACTATTAATTAAATACCACTATAACTATAATTATCTTTAATTTTGATTGGAATAAACTAATATCTAGCTACTACAAAATAAAATAAGCGTTTATCTCGTTTAGTTATCTAAAATTAATACCCAATAAGCTAGTTTATATAGATAGGTTCGATCTAAAATAGCGAAAAATACTAAGATTATATATTGATTAGTAGCCTTGTAAACGCTAAGAGTTTAGTTTTATATAAATTTAGGTTTTGCTAGGCCTAGTAGGCCCCAACCAGGAGAGATAGAGAGAGATGAGATTAGAATTAAAATTAAAAAAAATCTATCGACACCTGTGTGATTCGAACACACGCTCCCGAGGGAAATGCCTAAGCTTACATTTTTATGCATAGCAGGGCATCGCGTTAACCACTCCGCCAAAGTGCCTTAGCGTCCTTTTTTAGTACTCCTTGTCACGATCTGCTTATTATCACTTGCAAGACATCGTTTGGTTGCTTTATTTCCTTCGTTTTTCGAAGTGCTAATATTCCGAATTGGGAAAGGGGTTTATTTGCACTGTGGGTTAGCTTCTGCTATTTACTCCTCTGGATCTAC